CAGACTTAAAACGAAAGTATGTAAACATTAAAACATGTGTGTCTTGAATGCTTGAATGCTGTCACACGAGTGAGAATACTTGAAGAAGGTATGCTAACAATGGAACTACCATTAAAACTAATACGCCTTGTATGCTATGCTTACCTATGTGAATTGCCCTCGAGCTCGGTGGGAGTACAATGATGGACAAAATCAATCGAAACGAGACAATTTTCCAATTAGCCATCGTTGGATTACGAGGAGAGAGAGAGAATAATTATGCTGTATGTAGTGATCCGGCTGTGAGCATTGTGTCACTTTCAGGGTCGAAGGTTTATCCCACATCGAACACCGTGCGATACACAAAGAAGTGTGACTCCCTACACAAGTGTCAATTGTTATAAAGAAGCAAAGTGCCGGGAGTGGAATTAAAACAGTATGTTATTAATTATTGTCTTTAGGTTTAGCCTTATTTGCATCTGGCTCGAAACTTGCTTGGTTATTTGGTATTGGTGGATTTCCATGAATAAAATATGGGATTTTCCGGCCAAATTCGCGAGTTTGTCATTTAAATTAATTTGTCTTGCGTTCAAATTCGACGGTTTTAGTGCTGTCAAATATATCTTGGGTTAATATTCCTTCTTCTAGTTTTCAAATCTATGAAGTTTTCGTTAGATTCTGTATATGTTTCATTCAAGTTAATGAATACTGTGCTTCTTTCGCTATTTGGTCATTCGATTTGGTGCAACACGATTTCTGGCATCGCGAAGATGTACTTTTAGCATTCGTATTCATTTGTAGCATTCAAATTAGCACTTTGTGCACTTAAATTGATGGTCAATATACATTTCTCGTTTATTACACACTTTTTATAGCTCATTCTCTTTCTTTCAAGATTGTTTTTTGCATGTGTATTTCATCATATTCTTTATTTATACACTTTATGTACTTTTAGTGTGTGTTGCATTTCTTCCCCCTAACTTGAATAAACATAATTCGAATACGAATGACAGGCGTAAATTTGAATGATAAAAATGACGCATCGACAAGTGACGATTAATTTTAATGCTAGTTGAGCAGTTTCTAAATTAAATGACCGATTAATGAAACCCTTCGACCAAAATTTTAAATTGAGTACCAAAACGGGAAAATTGAATGATAATTGGCATGGCAAAGCCGATCTGCGCTAACTACAATGCAAAGTAAATAAATTCGAATGAAAAAAATCGCGAATTTCGCCGGGACGCATTATGTCTTATATTCATTCTGATTCTAATGTTTTCTTACTTTTTTCAAGATATTTTAATTTTTTTCGGTCGTAGTTTTCTATCTATCTATTTAAGTATCTTCTCCTGGTTTGGAGGTTGATTGCAACATCTCTCCATTTCACTCTATCTTCTGCCATTCTGGTGCACTCTTGCAGTTTTAGTCCACTCCAGCTCTTGACATTCTCTTCCCAGTTGATCTGGGTCTCCCTCTAGGTCTACTTCCTTCCACTCTTCCTTCCAATACATCCTTTAAAGCAGGGCTCCCACTTAGCCGAGTTGGAGCCTCAAGTTGTGGCGAGCTGGCGCGAGCTTATGGCTAGCCGTTTTATCATTAATACATATTTCTTGATATCAAGAATTCAATTCTTGATATCACGCAATCGAATTCTCAATATCACGCAATCGAATTCTCAATATCACGCAATCGAATTCTCAATATCACGCAATCGAATTCTTGATATTAAGAATTACCATTGCGTTACAACGTAAAATCATTTCATGATATTAAGAATCGATATCGATAATCGAATGTGATTTTCCAAATCATTCTCCAAATCAGACATATCGCTGAAATCGGATCCCGATGTGCCGTCTTCGTTGTCGGACGAAGAAGCCATTGTTAAATTTGGATATATAATAATACTAAAAGGAAGGTCTAGAGTCTACTACTACTGGTTTGAATTCTGACTCACTCTGATGGATGTACACGAAGTTCTACCGCCAACACACACACTTTCAGCTTTCTGGAAAGCCGGCATTCTGTGTATGACGTCACATGACGTAATCGATCGATGGACCGATTTTCCAAATTTTTAGGGGCGTTCCCAATTATTTTTTTCTTTTCAAGTTTAAAGATTAACGAATTTAATTCAAATAATTAGCTTTAAAAATCTAGATTCACAGCATAAAAGTCATATAGTTCAAATATACTAGTATTTCCGTAATAGTGGTCCTTTAAAAAGCATTCATGTCAGGGCCTGCAGTACGGCGGGCTCGGGGCTCGAACACCCCCCCCCCCTCACTTTTTTGTTAAGAAAGAGAGAAAGAAAGAAAGAGTGACCTGCAAGTGTCACAAATAAGTGTTCGTTCTGACGTTCCGAGGTGCATTCGGGACATTCTTGCATCCTAGTTGGAAGTTCCAACTGGATTCGAGCCGTATTCGAGCGGCAATCGAAAGATTCCGACAGCATTCGAAGTGCATTCCAGTCGGGTTCTTTTAGTAACGAAAATATCCGACGGCACTCGGAGTGCGTTCGAGGTGCATTCGGGACGTTCTTGCATCCTAGTTGGAAGTTCCAACTGCATTCGAGCCGCACTTGAGCGGCAATCTAAAGATTCCGGCGGCAATCGAGATGAATTCTTGCACCCTAGTCGGGACGTTCCAATTGTATTCGAGCCGCATTTGAGCGGTAATCTAAAGATTCCGACAGCACTCGAAGTGCATTCAAGTTGGATTCTTTAAGTTCCCTAAAATATCGAAATAGATTCCGACGGCAATCGAGATGAATTCTTGCATCCTAGTCGGAACATTCCAACTGCATTCGAGCCGTATTCGGGCGGCAATCGAAAGATTTCGACGGCATTCGAAGTGCATTCCAGTTGGGTTTTTTTTAGTACCCAAAATATCGAAATAGATTCCGACGGTAAACAAAGGAACATCCCTTCACTGCCATTAAGTAAAAAGGTGAATATTCATGTGACACCTGTTTTACATAATAGCAGTGAAGGATGTTTCTTTGTCTACCTGAGGAACTGTATATTTTGTCCGCTTTCTTTGTCAGTCATGTTCATAGTGCCAGCCACATTTGATTTGTTTTAATTGTTTATATATCATTTCTGGCAGTTTATATGCACTAGTAACAATTCATATGACCTATTTTAATTTGAAGTATATATACAGAACTCTTGTTTGGACACTCATGATTATTGTTATTCATATAAATAGACTTTTTCGGCAGTACTATTTTATCGTTATTTTTTTAGATATTTATCTTGATTATTTCTTGTTTGTTGTAAATATGTCATTTGATGTACCATTATCATTTTTTATGTTCATTCGATGTATTTACATTGTTTCACACGGCCCCAATGGAAATCAGCCTTGTAACTGTTTGGGCTTTTTGAACCGTGTATAAATAAAGATATCAATTCAATTAAAAAAAAGATTCTTTTAGTAACCAAAATATCGAAATAGATTCCGGCGGCAATCGAGATGAATTCTTGTACCCTAGTCGGGACGTTCCAATTGTATTCGAGCCGCATTTGAGCGGTAATCTAAAGATTCCGACAGCATTCGAAGTGCATTCAAGTTGTATTCTTTTAATACCGATAATATCGAAATAGATTCCGACGGCAATCGAGATGCATTCGAGGTGCATTCGGGACATTCTTGCATCCTAGTCGGGACGTTCCAACTGCATTCGAGCCGCATGCGAGCGGCAATCAAAAGAATCCGACGGCACTCGAAGTGCATTCGAGGTGCATTCGGGTCATTATTGCATCCTTGTTGAAAGTTCCAACTGCATTCGAGCCTCATTCGAGCGGCAATCGAAAGATTCCAAAGGCATTCGAAGTGCAATCAGGTTAGTTCCTTCTATTACCGAAATAATCGAAATAGATTCCGATGGCAATCGAGATGCATTTGAGGTGCATTCGGGACGTTTTTGCATCTTAGTTGGAAGTTTCCAACTGCATTCGAGCCGCAATCTAAAGGTTCCGAAGGAGTTCGAATTGCCTTCCGGTCGGATTCTTTTATTTAAAAAAAAATAATACAATTAACTTTAAAATAAGTTCGAATAAGATTCCGGCGGCAATCAAGACGTACCTATCACACATTTTAAAGTTAACATCTATAGATTGTTATAAATGGCTTTGAAAACTTTGACGAAAAATGCTTAATGTTCTATTTCACTGAATACTTTATCCATGAAAGATGGCCAGTGCTTGAAAAACATCCCTTTCTTAGGAAAACGTCGACGACGTGGTATAGCTGAAAAAGACATTCTTTCGACGCTTTATTCCAGCCAATGCCAATGTCGGCTTTTTATTGGCTTGTTTCGTGTTGGTTATAATACGCACAAACAGCCGGCCTGTGTATTATTATTAACGGTCACCGTATTTTTTGTTATATATAAAGTGGAGCTAAATTGGTATGATCGGATTTAATCTAATTTCGCACATTTGGGGTCTAGAATTACCTTAATAGCAATTTTAAGTCCTAAAAGGGCACTAGAAATGTCATAAATAAGAATAAGAGCAATAACCATGCACTTTAAAGGCATTTTGCAGTCTTAAACAAGAATTCAATTGTCCCTTTAAGATCGCGTGCTCGATCTTGTAATTGAAAACGGGTCAGAAAAGAATCTTAGAACCAGTGAGATCTAATGAGTGCAAGCATAGACGTAATAGAATGGTGCAAGCAAGAAATTTCAAACAACAATTGAAACTTCTCCCAGGAAGCCTGACACTAAGACATTTTGTTTATTCAAATAGCATTGTGGGACGATGAACAAATAAGAATAATAATATTACATCATCATCAATGGTGGGGAAGATCACTTCTACCCCTCTCTACTTATTCCTGCGAACAGTGAAATAAACCGAGTGGAATCAACTGTTTAACAAATTTGTCATGAGTCCCGAAATATATTTATTTGCTACTGGCTGTCATTATAAAAAGCAGCAATCGACGTATTGTGTCTTAATTTATTCATTCTAATTCTAATGTTTTCTGACTGTTGTCTAGACAATATCAATTTTTTCGGTCATAGTGTTATCTAGCTTTATTTCTCATGGTATATTTTAATGTACTGGTGGATTTCCATGGATAAAATAATACTGGTGGATTTATACGCTGTGAGCATTGTTTCACTTTCAGGGTCGTTATTATGATGCATACAGTATAGGGAGTAGGGAGTCATGTTTCTGTGTGTTGATGTTCAATGTGATGTGGGTAAAACCCTTCGACCCTGAATGAGACACAATGCTCACAGCCGGATCACTACATACAGCCTCTGTCTCTCTTCGTGATCCAACAATGGCTAATTGGGAAATTGTCTCGTTTCGATTGATATTGTTCATCATTCTTCTGCCACATATTAATGGTGTATTAAATATAGATTCAGATCAAGAGGACTATGACACAGGGAGCTCGAGTTTTATTGACATAGGTAAGCATATCACAAAAGGCGTATTAGTTTTAATGGTAGTTCCATTGTTAGCATATCTTATAATTGTAGCATTCTCACTCATGTGACAGCATTCAAGCATTTAAGCCACACTTAACAAAGTAATGCTAGTTTGAGATGGATGTGAAAGGTATGTCTTCACTTTATTGAGGTTCAATCAAGACTGCTTTACAAACAGGGTCCTCTCTCTATATAACATTGAGAGTGATATATAGTACATGACAGGTGTAGACACTATTATGACACCTATTATTGCCCATTATGAACATTAAAGGATTAGGGTTTGTGCCAGGCTGCCCGCCATTAACATTTAGAGTTGGTCTCCTCCCCTCTTTAGATTAAACATTCAGTAAAATACCTGTGTACAATCACTTGGCACTTTTCTTCAAGATACAAGACTTGATTATAAGTGGTCTCGTCTCTACATGAACATAATACTAATAATGAGTTTCAACACTCTATTCAAAGGTTTGTTTTCACCTTACTGTTGGCATTTACTGAAATTGTAAACCCTTCTAATCCTCCCTTTTTTTCCTCTTTTCTTTTAAACAATGAGTATCTTTTGAACAAACTATAATGGTACATTATGCTGTAATTAGTATCGGTTCTCTATCACGAGTGTTTATTTTCCGACCATTTAATGTTTAAATACTTTCGGTTTAAGTCTGCATGGTGTCAACTTATCAAGCACTATTAACCCTTTACATATCAACTATGACATAAAACATTTGTGTATGCATGTTAACACGACAATACTATATCTCCTTCATCTAAGAATCTTCTAACCGCTATCAATTCTATACCTCTCTGAAGCCTTTTTAACCTCTTGGGTTGTCATCGCGTTTGGAGTGGATTCTTTTGCAACAAATTATACTGTTCTGTTACCCTTAGTAGATGTCATAGTGAGACGTGAAAGAGCATTTGCAATATTGTGTTTCCCTGGGCGGTGCACTATTGTGTAAGTGTAGTACAGTAACGGTACACCGCAGGCCGCGATTGTGTATCATATAATGCCTCTAGCGGATTTATATTGTCTGTTACAAGTTCAAAGTCTACCCCGTACAAGTAAATGTGAGACTTCTCACATGCCCACAACTATGGAGCGCCAAAGGGGCCAATATCAACAGTCACAAAAACAAACAAAGATGCATACAAACAAACAAAGAAGCATACAAACAAACAAAGGACAGAGCAAAATAGACAAAGTACCCAGAAGAAAGGACCAATTAACAAAGAATAAATCAAAGGTCAGAGCAAAATAGACAAAGTACAGGTCAGAAGAAACAGAGGGCGTTTTGGTTTACGGTAAGCAAATAGACATCAGGCACGAAAACGAGAAAGGACAAACTCAAAAGGACATCACCTCAGCTACGAAGTGACCCTCAAAGGACAACAGAGGGCGTTTTGGTTTACGGTAAGCAAATAGACATCAAGCACGAAAACGAGAAAGGACAAACTCAAAAGGACATCAGCTCAGCTACGAAGTGACCCTCAAAGGACAACAGAGGGCGTTTCGGTTTACGGTAAGCAAATAGACATCAAGCACGAAAACGAGAAAGGACAAACTCAAAAGGACATCAGCTCAGCTACGAAGTGACCCTCAAAGGACAACAGAGGGCGTTTTGGTTTACGGTATTAAAGCAAATAGACATCAAGCACGAAAACGAGAAAGGACAAACTCAAAAGGACATCAGCTCAGCTACGAAGTGACCCTCAAAGGACAACAGAGGGCGTCCTCGAGGTTTTTTTCTTTTTAATCTAGGGCCTACTCCAATATAATACGCTGTAGGTCAATACAACAAATATGGGCTTTCATCGAAAGGGTGCGGTGCGGTGCGGCGCGGTGTGGTGTGCTCAACGCACCCATTCGATAAAAGAGGGGGGCCTTTTCTCGAAAGGGTGCGTTGAGAGCGGAGTACCATTTTAACACACCCTTTCGATGAAAGCGGGGGGGGGGGGGGGAGGGGGGGGGGGGGCTTTTCTCGAAAGGGTGCGTCGACTAGTCTTTCGCATCAGTCGTTTAAAATGAGGATCTCGGACAGAAGGTAATAGTTGCCAATTTAAGTATATCGAAAATGTATTAAGTGAAATGGAATGGTCTTGATTACAGAGTGGTCTCTTTGATGGGGGAGACAGAGAGAAGGAAAAAAGGGAAAGGGAAGATAAAAGGAAAGAAAGAAGAGGAAGAAGAAGAAGAAAAGAGGGAAACGGGGGCGAAAGGCTCTTGCCTCCCCCCCCCCCCCCGCCAAAAAATAAATAAGAGAGAAAGAGAGAAGGGAAAGGGAAAGGGAAAGAGAATAAAAAAGGAAAGGAAGAAGAATATGAAGAAAAGAGGGGCTCTTGCCTCCTCCTCCTCCCCCCGCCAAAAGATAAGTAAGAGAGAGAAGGGAAAGGGAAAGAGAAAGAGAAGATAAAAGGAAAGAAAGAAGAGGAAAAAGAAGGAAACGGAGGCGAAGGGCTCTTGCCTCCTAGCCCTTCTTCCCCTCCTCCCCCCCCCCCCCCGCCAAAAAAAATAAATAAGAGAGAGAGAGAAGGGAAAGGGAAAGAGAAGATAAAAGGAAAGAAAGAAGAGGAAGAAGAAGAAAAGAGGGTAACGGGGGCAAAGGGCTCTTGCCTCCTTTCTTTCCTATTCTCCCGCTTTTTTGTTTTTCTCTTTCTTTCTTTTCTTTCTTCTCTTTTCTTTCCTTTCTTTTCTTTTTTCTTTTCTTTTTCTTTTTTTCTTTTCTTTCCCTTTTACTCTCTTTTCCCCCTCCCCCTTTTCTCTTTTTCCCGACGGCAGCGCACTTTTACCGACAATATCCTGACAGGTGGGGGGGGGGGGGTGTCGCACCCCCACACCCCCTTTGGAGACGCCCCTGCCTTCGCCACTGTTGGCGACCACAAGGCTATCAATACAAATTAAGACATATTAATGAAGATTCTTTTTTAATGTTGCAGAGAGATAAGTATTTTCTCTATGAACTTGTTTAATGGAAAATAAATAATATTAAAAACATGAATACTATAGCGGTATAATGATGAGAGAGATGATTTAAGTCATACTTTTTTTCAATGTGATTGGAGTGGACTTGAGGGTGGGGGGGGGGGGTCCTCCTAAGATCTCGGCCGTTTCACAGCCGATCGCCGCGAAAATGCATATTTATGGTAATTTATGCAAACAAGGTCAGAGAATTCACATTTTTACCCATAAATCATATATAATTCATATTCGAGCGTTCTTTTTCACTTCATATATTCGTTAGAATAATAATACGACAACAAAGTTGGAAGAGCCAGTTTATCCCTATGTTATCTCTTGTTTTGATTATTTGTATTTATGTATTATATTATTTTGTTATTTCATTTCATTTCTAACCACAATTCAACTATTTTTACCCAAAATCAAACAAATTTACTTGAAACAAGACCAAATAACCAATGTTTTCTCTCTTTTTTAAAAGAATAAATGGTATTTCCATATGTTTGGTACATAAATCACAAAAATGAGCGATTTTAGATTTTTTTGACATGCAAAAACAAAAGGTCACGTGACTCCGCAATTATACGTCCGATTTTCAACAAAAAAATGTTTCAAAAGATGCGTAAGACTCGAAAGAAAAAAGTCATGAAAGAAAAACTGCCGCGGTTCCGGAGTAGTCGCGAAATTACTAGAAAGCACTAATCTTTTTTGGGGCCCTCAAAAATTTGAAAAATCGTACCCCCCCCCCCCCTTGAACGCCAGGGGGGGGGGGGTATCTCCCAAAAACGGTAAAAATTAACGTGTTTTTTTTACACGTTTTTTTCACAGGGCGGAGCCCTCAGAAGCTCAGGGGTATTAAACATCAAAATTAACGTCGGATGAGCATAATTTTATACCTTATTTGTGACAGTGGCAGGACACAATTTGGTGTTGGGTCCAGGGGGCGGAGCCCCCAGAAGCTCAGGAGTTTTGTCCATTAAATAATTATTATTTTATACCTTATTTGTGACACAGGGGTCACGAATTGGCGTGGGGTCCAGGGGGTGGAGCACCCAGAAGCTCAGGGGTTTTGGGCAATAAATAACGGTCAGATGAGCATATTTTTATATCTATTTGTGAGACTGGAAGGACACAAATTGGTGTTGGATCCAAGGGGCGGAGCCCCAAGAAGGTGAGGGGTTTTATACATCAAATTATCGTCAGATGAGCATATTTATATATCTATTTGTGACACTGGCAGAACACAAATTCTTCTTCCTCTTCCTCTTCTTTCTTTCCTTTTATCTTCTCTTTCCCTCTCCTTCTCCAACATAAGATGCAAGACGGATATATATCGACTCACCTTCTTTCCAAGAACCATAAGGGCCTGGAATTTACTTTCCCCCCCCCCCAGCATCTTTGCCTGCGACGCAGTCGAAACCTTCAAAGCCGGACTCTTATGGGAAGCCATCCAAGGGGGTAATATAATCATAGTCCCTCCCCACAACTGCAATTTGATGGGACTTAATTCTAAAATGTTCTAGAAGCAACAAACACTCTCTCTCGAACGATAACGTTCTTATTGGTCATCTTTATATCCCTCTTGAGGATCAGGACCAGGATCAGAACAGATTCTCTCTCTCTCTCTTATTTATTTTTTGGCGGGGGGGGGGGGGGAGGGAGGAGGCAAGAGCACTTCGCCCCTGTTTCCCTCTTTTCTTATTCTTTTTCCTCTTCTTTCTTTCCTTTTATATTTTCTTTCCCTTTCCCTTCACTCTCTTTCTCTCTCTTATTTATTTTGTTGGCAGGGGGGGGGGGGCAAGAGCCCTTCGCCCTTCCCCCGTTTCCCTCTTTCCTTCTTATTCCTCTTCTTACTTTCCTCTTATATTTTCTTTCCCTCTCCCTTCTCTCTCTCTTATTTATTTTTGGCGGGGGGGGGGGGGGGGAGGGCAAGAGCCCTTCGCCCCCGTTTCCCTCTTTTCTTCTTCTTCTTCCTCTTCTTTCTTTCCTTTTATCTCCTCTTTCCCTTTCCCTTCTCTCTCTCTCTTATTTATTTTGTTGGCAAGAGCCCTTCGCCCCCTTTCCCTCTTTTCTTATTATGCTTCTTTCTTTCCTTTTATCTTCTCTTTCCTTTTCCCTTTCCCTTCTCTCTCTCTCCTATTTATTTGTTGGCGGGGGGGGGGGGGGAGAGGCAAAAGCCCTTTGCCCCCGTTTACCTCTTTTCTTCTTCTTCTTCTTCTTTCTTTCCTTTTATCATCTTTCCCTTTCCCTTCTCTTTCTCTCTCTCTCTGATTTATTTTTTGGCGGGGGGGGGGGGGCAAGAGTCCTTCGCCCCCACCTTATTCCCTCTTCTCTTCTTATTCTTCTTTCTTTCCTTTTATCTTCCCTTTCCCTTTTTTCCTTCTCTCTGTCTCCCCCATCAAAGAGACCACTCTGTAATCAAGACCATTCCATTTCACTTAATACATTTTCGATATACTTAAATTGGCAACTATTACCTTCTGTCCGAGATCCTCATTTTAAACGACTGATGCGAAAGACTAGTCGACGCACCCTTTCGAGAAAAGCCCCCCCCCCCCCTCCCCCCCCCCCGCTTTCATCGAAAGGGTGTGTTAAAATGGTACTCCGCTCTCAACGCACCCTTTCGAGAAAAGGCCCCCCTCTTTTATCGAATGGGTGCGTTGAGCACACCACACCGCGCCGCACCGCACCGCACCCTTTCGATGAAAGCCCATATTTGTTGTATTGACCTACAGCGTATTATATTGGAGTAGGCCCTAGATTAAAAAGAAAAAAACCTCGAGGACGCCCTCTGTTGTCCTTTGAGGGTCACTTCGTAGCTGAGCTGATGTCCTTTTGAGTTTGTCCTTTCTCGTTTTCGTGCTTGATGTCTATTTGCTTTAATACCGTAAACCAAAACGCCCTCTGTTGTCCTTTGAGGGTCACTTCGTAGCTGAGCTGATGTCCTTTTGAGTTTGTCCTTTCTCGTTTTCGTGCTTGATGTCTATTTGCTTACCGTAAACCGAAACGCCCTCTGTTGTCCTTTGAGGGTCACTTCGTAGCTGAGCTGATGTCCTTTTGAGTTTGTCCTTTCTCGTTTTCGTGCTTGATGTCTATTTGCTTACCGTAAACCAAAACGCCCTCTGTTGTCCTTTGAGGGTCACTTCGTAGCTGAGGTGATGTCCTTTTGAGTTTGTCCTTTCTCGTTTTCGTGCTTGATGTCTATTTGCTTACCGTAAACCAAAACGCCCTCTGTTGTCCTTTGAGGGTCACTTCGTAGCTGAGGTGATGTCCTTTTGAGTTTGTCCTTTCTCGTTTTCGTGCCTGATGTCTATTTGCTTACCGTAAACCAAAACGCCCTCTGTTTCTTCTGACCTGTACTTTGTCTATTTTGCTCTGACCTTTGATTTATTCTTTGTTAATTGGTCCTTTCTTCTGGGTACTTTGTCTATTTTGCTCTGTCCTTTGTTTGTTTGTATGCTTCTTTGTTTGTTTGTATGCATCTTTGTTTGTTTTTGTGACTGTTGATATTGGCCCCTTTGGCGCTCCATACACAACACTCCCAAAGCTTTTTTTATTGAGTATCTTGATTCTACAATCAACAGTCATGTTTACAAGAGGAATGTTTAACGGAAAGAGCTATATTGTGTTCAAGTCCAGGGGCGGAACCAGCCGGCGGCAAAAAAGGGGGGGGGGGGGGCAAATTCGTGAGAAAATATTTAGCGCCGCCTCAGCCAGCCGGTGAATAAGCGGGAGGGGGGGGGGGGTAAGGAGCACGATTAAAAAAAAAACTCAACATCCATCCCCGCCCTTATTTTTTTCTTTGTCAACGGGAAAAAATATAAGGAAAAAGAAATTACACTTATATTGCTCTGAGGGGGGGGGGGGGGGTATTGAGCACTATATTTTTTTAATTTGGCCCCCTAAAAAAAAAATCATTTTGCCTCCGACATTTAAAAAAAAAAAAAAAAAAGTGTTTGACTTTTTTTTTTTTTTGGGGGGGGGGTCGCCCAAGGGGGGGGGGGTTATCCCCCCCGTAAATCCGCCCCTGAAAATGTGTAAATTAAATCTTTGAATGCTCATGAGCTCTTTTCTACTTATTATAAGCATAATATCGCCATGAAAAAATGACAATACGCGTAACTATCGACAGAATAGTACTGGGGCGCGGGCGCGGCCGGACCATAATTATATTGACCCGAACTAAAATAAACCTGATTAAAAGGATAAACTTGGGCGGATAACTTCACTGTCACCAGGATAGAGGATGGAAAGTACATTTCAAACAAATAACAAAATATTGTCCCCCCCCCTCCTCTTCAGTAACATTTCAATCCAGGGGGATGTTTCACAAAGACTAAGACAGGGCTGTCAACTTTGGGGAACTGCTTCGAGGGAGATCGTATGCATTTTTTTTTGCTCATTGGGGGGGGGGGGGGGGGGTTGGTGTTGTTGAATTGAAAAATATATACAAACAAAGTTTACAAAAGACTTAACTCCGTTTCGTTGATGATCAGCATGAATCTAGTCTTTCGTATTCTTTGAGCATGGCTGATCGTCAACATAACGGAGTTAAGTCTTTTGTCGACTCTGTGTGTTGCTACGGCAGGCAGTGAAAACGAACTCGTTTAACCGAATCAAACCAACAGAACTTTGTTATTCCTGGCTCATTTTTCCTGATTGAGGTGTCATATGAAAGGGCGGAAATTGAACTTTCTAGAAATGTGATTTTCTCCTTGAAATTCAGATACCGCCCGCCAAATGACTTTTTGGTTTCCTCTCTTCAAATTGCTTTTAATCACTCATGCGTGGAATATGCATCATATGAGTTGGATCAAATGAAAGAGGAGGATCTAAGCTTTATAACATTGAGAGATATATATACATGACAGGTGTAGACACTATCAGGACACTTATTGCCCATTGTGACCATTAAAGGTTAATTAGGTTTGGTGCCAGGCTGCCCGCCAGTAACGTTTAGATAGAGTTGGCCAAGAGTGTCAAGACATTACACTTCTCTACTACTACACATATATTTAACAAGAGAGAGTGCCATATTTATTTATTTTTTTCAAACTTGGCATAGTTTCAAGTTTATTTCACATTTCACAAATAAAAAGAATTTACATAACTGACAAAAATAGAACATAATATGAAATATACTAAAAGTGTCACATTATATAATCAATTCTTTGAAAAGACGTCGAAATTAATTGTAATGAAATACAGAGTGAAATGTGAGGAACCTATTAAAAAGCTTAGCTTGTAGATTATAGGTTCCCATAAATAAAACTAACATTTGATTGAAGTAGTTGTAATGGTAGAGGACGTAACAGTAATAATAGGTGGGCAAGAAGCCTTAACATAAGATGATTATACAACGTGAAACAAGCAAAAATAGCAAAAATAGCAAATACAGCAAGCAAATTAATTTGTAAACAAAGAGATGAGACAATAGTCACTTTAAAATATCGAGGTCGTTAGGTCATTGAACGAGGTCACCCGAGCGAGGCAGTAGACATGAACAATCATGTTATAGTAGTGTATACAATAATGTAGACCGTAGCCCAGACACAATCCTGTTTCCAAAATGCATTCGAATCCACGCACGTCTGCTCCCAGAGAGCCCCAAGGCACGCAAACGCATTCACCCGCTCCACGCCCCATGCCTCCCCGCAGTATCACCTGCACGACTGTTTTTTTTTTCTTCTCTCGACTGCTTTTTTTTTTTTTTCTCGACTGCTTTTTTTTTTTTCTCGACTGCTTTTTTTTTTTCTCGACTGCTTTTTTTTTTTTCTCGACTGCTTTTTTTTTTTTTCTCGACTGCTTTTTTTTTTTTCTCGACTGCTTTTTTGGAAACTCGACTGCCTTTTTGTAAACTCGTTTGCTTTTTTGTAAAGTCGATTGCTTTTTTGTAAACTCGATTGCTTTTTTGTAAAGTCGACTGCTTTTTTGTAAACTCGACCAATTATGACGGCTGTGGCGTGCCATAGCAATGACCGATTCATGCCGACGACCCCAGCAAGAAAAACAAGGACGCGGCACATCTAGGCAAGCACGTAATGCCCGAGGGCCCCCGAGAACAGGCGCGCATGCATAAGAACATAAGTATAGGAGAAGGCCGGAATGTACAATGTATAGAATATCATATTAATTGAATTTCAAAGTAAAATTTGGTCATATGAATTTAAAAAACAACTGTTTAAGCTTACAAATTAACGACGGGGATTCTGTATGTCCCAATTAGCGGTTTAAAATGAAATTACGCCTCCCCAGTCGAATCTTATCTATTCATACAATCAAACCAGGTTTATTATCGCTTTTAATTTAGAACTTATGCCACAATATGAAATGATACACTTAGCCAGACATTACGACTGTCGTTTAACATTTCAATATTTCGACTATAGATTGGACAGCTATCCGACCTCACATTTGGATCCCGAGTACAACAAACATTGGTAAGAATTTTCCCTCTTTAAATTAAAAAAATTGTAGTAAACTATAATTCTACTCATTTTGTATAAAATGTCAATATTTATTTCACAGACTTTCTCTCTTACATCATTATGAATCGCCATATATATTTTTATTTATCTACATTACCCATTTATCTTCATTAATGTCATCCCCACTCCCTTGGCCCATTTGACAAGTTGTGATATATTTATAGCCAATGTTATCCTGCCGCATCAGCCCGGAAATTGAAGGAACGGGGCACAAAGCCGATAAGAGATAGTACTGGGGTTTATGTCTGGGTGGTAATGCTAGCTTGGAATAAGAAATGAAACAGCTACAAAAATTGATCGGATAAACAGAGACTTTAACGATATGTTTGGCAATGATAATGATTTTTTTTTTTAAATCCACATATCGGGAAATAACCCGTCAAGACATGAGGGCGCTTGGTAACCGTAGTTAATTACACTTGACTTGAGCACACACAAAAGTCAACGAACCTCTATTAAAATGTCCTCCCTTACTCCTGATGTAGGGAGCCATCTTGACGTTCGTGTGGTTGATGGACCAAACAATGCTACAGGTCGAGTCGAGGTATGGTACAAAGGTGCTTGGGGAACAGTATGTGATGATGGATGGGATTTGAACGACGCCAATGTCGTATGCAGAATGCTAGGGTTCTTCAAAGCGTCAAGTGCACCAGTCAGGGCTGAATATGGTGCTGGCTCTGGAGACATTCTTCTTGATGAAGTTGATTGTACTGGATCAGAAATTAGCCTCGAAGACTGCATCAAGAGTGAATTTGGAGTCAATAATTGTGATCACAGCGAAGATGCTGGTGTCATCTGTACAGGTATGATGTAACCCTGTTTGTGAAATTCGAAAAGTCTTTATATGTATTACGTAAGTCTTGTTTTTTTTCTCCATTATATGACTTCTCCATATCCCTCTTTTCACTCCTCATCTCACTTCTTCCCTTTCCTTTCTCTCTCCCCCCCCCTCTCTCTCTCTCTCGCTCTTACTCTATCTAATCGTTTCTCTTCTTTTATATCTGCGTCTTTGTCTGATAGTGATACCCTTGTTCTCTTCCATACTCAAAACCTGAATTCATAATATATCATTGTATTTCAGATCCTATCTCTCTTGATGTTCGTCTTGTCGATGGTCCAAATAACAACTCGGGAAGAGTTGAAGTGCAAGAAAATGGATCTTGGGGAACTATCTGTGACGATGGCTGGGATGCAAAAGACGCTAATGTTGTATGCAGAATGCTGGGGTTCTTCGGTGCAGCATATGCATCTGTGCAAGCTACATACGGTGAAGGGGTAGGAGACATCTCACTCCGTAATGTGGATTGTATTGGGACGGAAAGCAACTTGGGAACATGCTTCCACGACAGACCTGAATCTTTTGACTGTGCTCATGGCGAAGATGCCGGTGCTGCCTGCTTGGTTCTTATCCAAGGTATAATGTGAAACGAATATAATAGTCCTTAAATCTATCAATATGCAAATGTGTACTGCTCTTATAGTTTGAACAAATGTGACTAAAAATATACATGATACATATCTGAAGATAATTTTTAAACAATGTAAGACATATTTGTTTTGCTCGGTTCACCCGGTTTTTGTAATCCCCTCGCCGACTAGCAAATGATAGACGGCGCTATATAAATGCCTATTATTATTATTATTTATATATAGCGCCGTCTATCATTTGCTATTCCGAGGCGCACAAGAAAAATAGAAAGAATGGGGAGTTTGGATGAGTGCCAAGTACAGGTGTTGTTAGAAAAGATAAGATTTCAGCTTGGATTTAAAAGGAAGTTATGATTCTCAAATTAAATGGTAAATTATTCCAAAAAGCTGAAAAGGCCCTCTCACCGCAGGCTACTCGTGTCTTGAGGATCTTAAGAAGATGCTGATGTACGAGCTGGCCGGATATTAGGCATAACAAGGTCTTGTAAACAGTTTGGTGCCAAACTGTTTACAGTCTTCCAGGATTTTGAATTATAGGCGCTTGCAGATTGTTTGTTTTGGCTTGGTTCACCTATATTTTAACACTTCTCTTTCGTTGTAATGTGAACAGATGATTCTGGAAGCGGGGCATCGTCCGTGGATGGTAAGTAAAAAGTAAAAAGAAAATCGAATAGCTGATGATAGCGCTCAACATTTTACCTTTTAACAAATTGATGACACAAGAGCTTTGATTTCATGATAATCAACAGTGATAAGCATGAATCTGTGATAGGAAAGACTTGTCTAGTTTAGCCATAAAAGTATGATTATATAAATATCAAAGATTCCAGAGAGAACGGGACCGGGGGGGGGGGAGGGAGAAGTCACATTGGCCAACTGATACATCAGGCATGCATACTGCTTTCTTAAAGAATGACAATATATATATTTTTCGAATCATAGTCTATTTGTTTTGGCTTGGTTCACCTATTTGGGTTTTAGTTACATATATGTTAACACTTCTCTTACATTGCAATTTGAACAGGTGATTTTGGAAGCGGAGAATCGTCCGGGGATGGTAAGTAAAGAGAGAAAAAGACACTCGAATAGCTGATAGCGAGATGCCCGCTCACCATCTTACCTTTTAACAATTATTGATGCCGATACAAGAGCTTTGGTTTCATGACAATCAGCAGTGATAAGTGGGAATCTATTTTCTAGGATAGACTTGCAGTTGAGCCGTAAAAGCGTCATATATATATATATATATATACATATTAAAGATTCCAGAAAAAACGGGACAGGGGGGACGGAAAGAAGTCACATTTGCTTCGTTCGCCTATTTGGATTTGTGTTACATAATAGTAACACTTTTCTTACATTGCAATTTGAAAAGATGATTCTGGAAGCGGGGAATCGTCCAGGGATGGTAAGAAAAAATAAAATAAGATAATCGAATAACTGATAGCGAAATGCCCGCACAACATCTTACTTTTAAAAAAAATGATGATACAAGAGCTTTGATATCATGACATTCAACAGTGATCAGCAGGAATCTGTGTTCTATAGGATAGACTTGTCTAGTTTAGCCATAAACGTATGATTATATAAATGAGTTAAGTCTTTTGTCAACTCCGTTTGTTGCGACGGCAGGCAGCCAGTAAAAACGAATTTGTTTAATCAAATGATGGAAATGCAAGCAAATACTTTAAACAGAAATTTGTTATTCCTTTCTCATTTTTCCTGATTGAGGTGTCATAATTATGAAAGGGCAGAAAATGAACTTTCTAGAAATGTGATTTTTCTCTTTGAAATTCTGATACCGCCCTAAAAATGACTTGTTGGTACCCTATCTTTAAATTGTTTTTAATCACTCATGCGTGAAATGTATGCATCATATGAGTTGCATCTACTGAAAGAAGAGGATCTAAGCTTTACAAATATGTGTCATTTATTAATTATAATTGTGATTAAACTATGATAAAACATCGATAATTCTCGGTTTCATTTTTCTGGGACGCACTGTATATATTTCTTCGAACCATAGTTATTTGTTTTGGCTAGGTTCACCTATATTTTAACACTTCTCTTACATTGTAATTTGAACAGATGATTCTGTGAGCTCGTTATCATCCTGGAATGGTAAGTAAAAAGAGAAAAAGAGAATCGAATAGTTGATAGATGCCCGCTCTACATCTTACCTTTTAACAAATTGATGATACAAGAGCTTTGATTCATGATAATCCAACAGTGATAAGCATGAATCTGTGATAGGAAAGACGTGTCTAGTCGGAGCCATACAAGTACGATTATAGAGATATCAAAGATTCCAGAGAGAACGGGACAGGGGGCGGGAGGAAGTCACATTGTCAACTGATACATCAGGCATGCATACTGCTTTCTTAAAGAATGACAATATATATATTTTTTCGAATCATAGTCTATTTGTTTGGCTTGGTTCACCTCTTTGGATTTTTGTTACATATATTTTAACACTTCCTTTTCATTGTAATTTGAACAGATAATTCAGTGAGCTGGGCATCATCCTGGAATGGTAAGTAAAAAGAGAAAAAGATAATCGAATAGCTGATAGCGTGATGCCCGCTCAACATCTTACCTTTTAACAAATTGACGATACAAGAGCTTTGATTTCATGATAATCAACAGTGATAAGTGGGAATCTGTTTTCTAGGATAGACTTGTCTAGTTAAACAATAAAAGTATCATATATACATATCAAAGATTCCAGAAAGAACAGGACAGGGGGGGGGGGGGGCGGCAAGAATGCTCAGTTGTAGATCATCTATAGTAATATATCATATTTGTTTTTCTTCTCTTTTTTAATAATATTGGAGTTATTGTTTTGTTACTTTGTTTAATTCAACTCAAGATCGATCCAAAATTGAGTGCTCTTCATTTTTCTTATGAAGTTGTTCTTAAACCACCGTGTATAATTCTGCTGCAATAACATGATTGTAACTCAACTCCAATTTAAAATTTAATGTGGAAACTCAACAATTATGAGAATTTGTGTATGCTCATGGGCACTATACATCACTTTATATGAAATGCTTTAATGATATATTCTTAATGTAATAATTATATTCAACATAATTTGACCTTACCTGTCACACAACAGACACACCTGCATGTATAATTTTTCAGTCTATGGATCTCATGTTAACAATTGCAATATAATAATTTCCTCTCTCTCTCTCTCTCTCCCTCTATATATTATGTATATATATTTTTTAAATAGCTGTTAAATTTAAAGATTATTTGTACTTGCAATAACTGGTCAACATTTATTATCATCCATCTATTATCATTTATTTATATATGTATATAACTTTAGGTATGAGCAATAATTTTAACTTTATCTTTTATCATTTTTATTGTACATTTATATGATCATTCCTGTTTTTATGCACATTTTATGTAAACATTGCATTATTGGTCCCTGGACTACTGCATTGTACATTGTATATGTTGATATTAATAAACCGAAATTGAATTGAATTGAAAGAAGAAAATGAACTTTCTAGAAAAGTGATTTTCTCTATGAAATTCAGATACCGCCCTAAAAATGACTTTTTGGTACCCTCTCTTCAAATTTTCAACCACTCATGCGTGAAAAATGCATCATATGAGATGCATCAACTGAAGAGGAGGATCTAAGCTTTACAAATATGTGTCATTTATTAATTATAATTGTGACTAAACTATAATAAAACATCGATAATTCTCAGTTTCGTTTTTTTCTGGGACGCACTGTATATATTTCTTCGAATCATAGTCTGATATTTGTTTTGGCTTGGTTCGCCTTTATTTTAACACTTTTCTTACTTTTTAATTTTAACAGATGATTCTGGAAGCGGGGCATCGTCCGGGGATGGTAAGTAAAAAGAAAAAAAAGAAAATCGAATAGCTGATGATAGCGCTCAACACCTTACCTTTTAGCAAATTGATGATAAAAGAGCTTTGATTCATGACATTCAACATTGATAAGCAGGAATCTGTGTATAGAGCCTACTAGGATAGACTGTCTGGTTGAACAATAAAAGTATCATATCAAAGATTCCAGAGAGAACGGGACAGGGGGAGGGGGAAGGGGGGGGGGGGAGAAGTCATATTTGCCAACTTATACATTAGGCACGCATACTGCTTTCTTAAGGAATAATAATTCTCTTTTTCGAACCCTAGTGTGTGTATATTATGAATTATGAGCTCATACTATCTGTATCAAGAGATAAAACTAATCAGTATACTGTAATTTAAATGTTGATCTTCACATTGATTATGAAAATGAAGGAACAATGTTCGGGCTACAATGTCCAGACCTCGTATCAAGCACGGATAAAGGTCTTACTACATCATCTACTGTCATCATATCCCCACACGTGCATGGTTCCGTTGACAATCGTAACTTCTCTGTGGGCTGTACGTATACTTCACATGATGTATTTTACTATGGAGACACTTGGGTTGCCTGTGCTGCACGAGATGATCTAGGAAACTACTTGACATGCGATTTCACGGTCACCGTCACAGGTATGTAACAAAAAAGAGAGAATTACAACAACCATGTCAGAAAATTGTGTTAGCAATTCAGTCTGACCGTGTTATTATAGAGTTTTTCAGGAATCGAAGAACATTATGTTATGGTTTAGACCGAAAGCTTGCAGTCTCTGATAGTATGGGGAATGTCGACAAAATGTCAGTTTTATAAAAGAATGACCCATACCAGACGGTTATTTCTGTCTAGTTATGGTTATACAAAAATAGGGTCTATACTTTCTCAATGTTCGAACTCCGTTTCATGTGAATGAAAATTCCTGAATCATAATTGCCAGTGCTGCAAAGTTTACAGTTCAGTTGATTTAAATATTTTATTTGCAAAATATTTCGTTGAATTAATTCCTCTACCTTTAATCCAAAATCCATTATCAACTTTATGATTATTTCATGTTTGTTTGCAATGTTGAGGTCTGTAATTAGTAAAGATATTTTAAGATCCAGTCAGTTACACTACGTTGCCACCCCCCCCCCCCCCCCCCCCAACAAAAAAAAAAAAAATTCCCAATTTCAGTAGTGTTGGGTGGTTCAGCCATTGAGAGGAGTCACTGACATCATGGGTAGGGGAGGGTGCACCACCCGGGGGGGGGGGGGGGTACTCAGATTTGGTTTCGACGGGGTGTGCCGCTCAAGCCTCGTAATCCCTACACATTATAAGGGGTCATTTGGAGCATATTTCTCGTAAAAAGACCCATTTCCCACAATTTCCAGGTATTTTTCCGGTGTGGAATGGCAAACACCCGAAAAATTTGGAAATTTAAAGAAATTTTGAAAAAACGGACCCATTTTTAATGGTATTTTTGTTACAAGTGGGACCCATGTTTAGGGATTTTTGGGTGTAAAAATGACCCATTAGAGCGGCACACCCTGCATTTCCTAATATGTGAGTACACCCCCCCCCCCGGGTGCACCGGTAATTGAGTAATGCAAGAGAACACAATCAAATTTAGAGGATATGTGACAGGGGTTGTTAACCCTTTTTTTTAATACATTGAGCTTGGCCGTTTCTCCTTTTTTATGTGACCTTCTCATCTTTGTGCCTCATGGCCACCACTCACTTTATTGTTGGTTGTCCCAAAATTTGTATTTCAAGATGGTGAACCTCCCCATTTGGACTGCCCTGACATAATTTCCACCACGGACCAAGGTCTTCCTACATCTTCTCGCTTCCCCAACCCTCAGGCATCAGACAATACTGATCCTAGTCCGTCTGTGATCTGCTCTCGTACATCGAGTGATGTCTTCCAGTTTGGAGATACCAATGTTACCTGTCATGCTACGGATGAATCAGGAAACGTTGGCAGGTGTGTGTTCGTGGTTACAGTACAAGGTATGATACAACTTTCAATGAAATATGTTCGTTCAGGTCAGTGGCGGATCCAGGGGCCGGGGGGCCGGGGGGCGAATTTGCGATTCCCAAACCATTCAGCTATGGGAAACATTTTGAGCAACATGATTGGTTAAAAAAGTTATAAAGACACGCCTACATCGACGCGAGCCATCTCATCATGGCGGTGCGAATGTGTCTGGGGCCAAGTCCGAGTGAACCATCAAATCTTCAAAATGATTTTCCAAATCTGCATGTAAGTAGATATTTAGACCCTGTATTTAATTATTTTATTATAAAGTCGCCATGATTTGATCTGTGTCTATGACTTTTGGAATGATGTTTGCATGAATGGGCTGCACATAAACAATGGATAACAGTGGGCCTGTATGTGCCTGTAGCTAGCTCGCGTGTGAGTGCATTGTACCTAACCACATAGCGTATGTGCAGTCCTGAGTGTTTTGTTGAGACTAGCCTAGCCATGACTAATATTGTGAGTGTTTGTGTGTCTGTGCCAGCTGTGAGCGAGCCCGAGCGTGCAGTAAATGACGTAATATTTATTTCTTCTCTCGACCAATCACGTTGCTCATAAAGTCTCCCATAGCGGAATGGTTTGGGAATCGCAAATTCGCGGCCGGGGGCCCGGCCCCCCACCCCTGGCAAAAAAAAGGGAAAAAAGGGGAAAGATTTTTTTTTAATAAATTAAAAAATTGCTCATAATGACCGTGATTAAATGCCCTGAGCTTCCGGGGGCTCTGCCCGCTGGATTTCACCTTAACCCAAAGTCAGGCACCTGGATGCTCATCCGACCGTAATTTAATGTCTAAAACCCCTGAGCTCCTAGGGGCTCTGCCCCTGGACCCCACACCAATAAGTGACCTACCAGTGCCAGAAATAAGGTATCAAAATATGCTCATCTGACCGTAATTAAATGCCTAAAACCCCTTGACTTCCAGTGGCTCTACCCCCGGATGCGTTATTTTTTTCTGCGGCACAGCTTGGGGTTAGGTGCGTGTTGAGCCTATGGGAAAGTTTAGGGTTAGGGTTAAATCAAGACTTCTTTTTTAAAAAAAAAACTCAATCTGTGCCGCAGAAAAAATGACGCCCCCCGGACCCAAATCTAGGGCCCTAAAGCGGATGCGTTGATGCTAATCTGACGGTGATTTAATGCTTAAAACCCCTGAGCTTTTGGGGTTTTGGCCCCCTCCCCTGGACCTCACGCCAATTAGTGTCCTACCAGTGTCACAAATAAGGTGTCAAAATATTTTTATCTGACCGTAAAACCCCTAAGTTTCCGAGGCTCCACCCCCTCGACCTTAGGGGGCTCCGCCCCCTGGACCCCACGCCAATTTGTGTCCTGCTAGTGTCACAAATAAGGTATAAAAAAAAATGCTCATCTGAACGTAATTTATCGCCCAAAACCCCTGAGCTTCCGGGGGCTCCGCCCCCTGGACCCAACGCCGATTCGTGACCTGCCAGTGTCACAAAATATGTTATGCTGATCTGACGATTATTTGATGTATAAAACCCCAGAGCTTCTGAGGGCTCCGCCCCCTGGACTCAACACAAATTTGTGTCCTGCCAGTGTCACAAATAAGGTTTCAAAATATGCTCATCTGGTCGTAATTTAATGCCCAAAACCCCTGAACTTCCGGGGGCTTCGTCCCCTGGACCCCACGTCAATTCGTGACCTGCCAGTGTCACAAATAAGGTATCAAAATAATGCTCATCTGACGGTAATTTAATGTATAAAACCCCTGAGCTTCTGAGGGCTCCACCCTTGACCCCCGCCGAGAAATGTTCAGTGGGGCCTGCATGTAAGAATGGGGTGATGGGAATTTGATTTGGGATAAAACACTCTTTCATAAGATGTATAATAATTTTCTGTTCATACATGATCTTTCAAATAATTAGCAATTGTCTAGGTGTAAACTTTTTTTGACTCACTCGGTATAACTTCTAATGTTGTAGTTTTGTCTTGTTTTATAATAAACCAATCTGATATTTGTGAAATGTTTGTTCTTACCTAACCAATATCTCCATGGCAGAAGATGGAGTATAAGTACGTTCTAGAAGACACTATTGGCTAAAAATACCTGTATCTGTTTTTCTTCTTATAAGGTCATTGGCTTGTCACTTTTTTGTGATTTCCTTATTGATTATCACTACCTAAAAGGAAGCTGATGATTGACCGAATTTTGGTTGTCTCTTGATTCTTGGGGGGGGGGGGGGGGCTGTAGCTCTCCACTCCCTCATCTCCATTCCTGCTTTATATGCCTACGTTAATTTTTTTTATCTCTCTTTCTCCCTTTCTCTAGATAAAAAATCTACAGACCCTTGTATGGTTCATGATCCGTGTATCAATGGTGAATGTAGCTACTATATCGGATCAGGACAATACCAATGTGACTGCTATGATCAATACGAGGGTACTCATTGTGATGTCATCCCTCACCCCACTCGTGAGTCTTTACTACTTTTCAAAATATTGTGTCTATCAAGTAAAAATGTAATAGAATGAAATCCATTCAATAACATTTTGAATTTTGTAATTGATCAATTACCTATTGGACGTGGCAGGTTTAAAATGGCGGGTTCCAGTAAATAATAATAACATGGGAGTCATATTCGGTTGTTTTGTTCTAGGTTGGATCGAGAAACAAATAATACACACGTTTTCGTTTCATTTGCTGTATTCTAGAATGATTTAATCCAGTTTTTTGATAGAAATGCAAGACCATCATCAGAACTCAAAACTGTCTCATTTCATCAGTAACAATTTCTTTTGTTTTTCTTATATTCATGGATCCCAGCGATCTGTAAGAATACGACATGGATGTCATCGCGTTTTGGATTAATCAGTTTCCTAGAGGGTGAGAACGGAACGTGGGCGAACTCAACTGAAGTATGTCCATTCAACACAACAAACGGTAAATTAGGATACTTTCCATGCACGTTCTACCTGCATCTATCTATCTATCTCTATTTAAATGAAATTAGTTATTCTGATTCTGATTGACTTAAATAAACCAATGGGCCACTCTAGAAGACGTATCCCCCTAAATCACACAGCAGGGATTTGCATTAATATATAGGCTATGAACATTAGAGGATCTAAGTTTTTACAGCTAGACATTTGATTTTCTAATTATACGCTCTTGCCATCATTATCCACATGCTTTTTTCAAGACATTTCCCATAAATTATAATTATTTCATGAAATTCAATAATGGTACGGGGATAGTAAATTGTTGTGAATTTGTTTGATAGCTGATCAACCAATCGGTCGTGCCATATGCGTCGGTGATCTGATTTCACAGAGTACATGGCTTCCCGATCCCACGGATAACTGTGGACAATTCAGAAATGCTGGAGATTTACTTGGCCAGCTTTCAAAGGTAATTTCAATGTTGAGATTTCTATTTCAGCCGCTTCAAGAAACTTTTCTTGAATTGTCAAAACACAGTCACGAGACCACTCATTATGAATTGTCAGGGACTGAACACCATCAATTTCCATCAAGCCTATTTCAATGTTATAGCTTTGAATTTTATTATTTATTGGACACATCCTAGAAATAAAATAGCAATTGTAACATCCCAATGAATGAAATAGAAATGAACATTCTGTGATAAGTTGTTATGCTCAGAAATGAAAACAGATGGGCTAATACTTTCTCTAATAAAATGAAGGCAAAATGTATCTAGGCTGTCTTGTGAGCAATATTTAGAGATTAAAAAGTAGATCCTGCCATAAAAGTGGACACCCCTGGTCCCGTAGAAAGGAGACGGTTGTAGAGACATCTATACTATCCATTATGTTTGAATGACTCTAGTATAGAACAATAAAAGCAAACACAATCTGACTGATATTCAAATCGTTTGTTTCAAGGTTATCGTTTCAGATGAAAATGTTGCTAAGCTCAGTGAAGACGTCAGTTTGGTGACAAGTAACACTGGTGATATCTCATCTGATGACATTTTTTCGATTGCAAATATAATTTCAAATATAAGTGCTCGAACGAACAGTGAAAAGGTATGTTTCTTAATTTAGTCTCGCGAATACAACACTTTCCAAAAATATCTAATGTAATTCGTCTCTTAAAGTTTTAATTCAATTTGTTGTGAAACGTGTCCAGTAAATTCATACATATACAATTATTACGACTTAAGTGTTTATCTTTTTACTGGCCAAGCGAATCCGGCTATATTACTAAAACAAAGACCATTTAATTGTAGGTCAATTCATTGTGAAAATAGTATTTGCCATTTTTTTTAAAGATCTTGTCAAATCCGACTGTCCAAATGTTATCCCAAATCACACCTGTATTTAAAGTTTTTATTTCATACTAATACTGCTATGCTTTCGGAATATGTAAGTGAATGAATTTACTTGATTTTGAATAACAGGTTACTGCATCTATTGTTGCCATAGTGAGTAACATCGCTGATGTTGACACAGAAACACTTGAATCAGCATCAGCCTCTGTTATTGATGTCGTTAAAGTATTTGAGCGGCAGATCAAAAGTGTACCTATAGAGGACGGTGACAATTTCAGCATTCAACAGAAAAATATTGCCGTGCAGGTACGTTGAAGTTTTGATATTCTATGTCGAATAAAATGCTGATTATATCCGAATTTTCCCATTGGCAGGGCAGCAAAGACCAAAATTTATGTACTTACTGTGAATATAGTTGACAAGTACTAGCGCTCCTCAAAATAAGATATCTGTCAATGACACGTGCAAAGAATACTATGCCTCTTCATGACCAAAGCAACGTTCTTATTTGGCTGTTTTTCCAATTCTGTTTTTCTGAACTTTTCAGGTCCAAAGCGTACCTACCGATGTCATCTCAAATGGTTTAGTCATCTCATTAGCAGGAGACACCAATTCGGATCTGAAGAAATTTGACACCAACATCCAAACTTCAAATGAAAATCAAGCTGAAGCTACAAAACCAGATACCATTGCTATTGTCAACATACCATCTGCGATTTCTTCCGCTTTACCGTTGATATCTGGAGGAAGTTCTAATACTAACGGCTTTGTTCGCGTGATCTTCAGTGTCTTTTCCACACCAGCCCTTTTCATTTCTAAATCATTGAAGAACACAAGTGTAGGAACCAACCGATCTGCTAACACGCCTGTTATATCACTGAGCATCGGGGACGAGAAAATAGAAGATCTGACAGAACCCATCAATTTCACTTTTACCACGATAGAGGTAGGCCCTAAAGGAATGTCATTTTCAAAGTTACTTCATAGATATAAATAAATGTGCATGACTGTGCATCTTAATTGTCATCTTTGAGTATTATTTCCAATGTGTTATAATTATTTCTGTTTTATAATCAATTTCACTATATACAGTGTATCAGACAAGGACATGTTATTAGCATTGTTTGACCACCTATTAAAACAACTATAGTCGTATTCACTATGTTCTCAATTTGAATTTTCTCACAAGTCTGGTCTGACAAACCCGTCGTGTTCATACTGGGATATTGGCTATAGCGACTGGTCACAAGAAGGGTGTCAGCTTCTTTCAACATCTGGCATTAGCTCATCCAATGATAACAACTGGGATCCTCCTCCATCTAATGAGAAGGAGAAGATCGTTTGTGGATGTAACCATCTCACCAACTTTGCCGTCCTTATGGTAAGATCTTTCTTTCTTTTATAGTAGGATGTCTTTTATTTTCAAAGCACGTCGCCTGGGAATCACATGGGATTGCATATGTTTTTGTTCTTCTTCAGTTGTAGCTAATTGATATAGTTTACATGTTATCTCTCCCCCATTTGAAATACTTCGATATCTATTGTTGGAAGCTGCAGTAAGAGACTTCCCCCATTTAACCAAAGATCCCCATCTTTGGGAAAGACCCGCTCTTATCTCACTATACCAAAGATCTTGTAAAGACAATGTAATCTCTGTCTATGTAATTTTCTACAGTTCTTCTTTAATGTTAAGGATAAAGCATGTAGCGACCGATTGAAGTGATTCCATTTGTGAATAATAAGAGCATTTTCTGTCCTGTTCCTTGTATTTTTCTCTCTTATCTTTTTCCTCGGTCTTTTCCCTTTCTTGTTTTTAATCTTAGAAGTGGAACTTTTTTTGGGGGGTGGGGGCTGCTCACATGGTGACTATAACTCCAGGCAAGTCGAATAACACACTCACTATGCATACTCATGAATGTATTATAATATGTCGGCGACAAATTAATGACAGCAATATCACCAGGCGCGTAGCCACGGGGGGGCACGGGGGGCACGTGCCCCCCCTAAAATTTCCAGGATCGGTTGAAATTTTGTAGACCCCTTTTTTTGACCTCGATCGATTACATGTATGTGCCCCCCCAAACATCAAACTCTGGCTACGCGCCTGAATATCACCAGAGCTCACACACACATGTTAGGTTTTCATATAGCTCTATATGTTATGGTTAAGTGTAGAATGAGCTGGATAATAAATTTGTGATGAATTTATTCTATTTGTAGGATATTTCCAGAGAGGAAGGGTCTTTTGAGCAAGCATACACAGTTCTAACGTACATAGGATGTGGTATTTCAATAGTTAGCCTACTTGTCACCCTCGCAACATATCTATCAAACAGGTAGAGTCATGTTTATCTCAATTTTTATGATTATCCATCTCATAAAACTACTAGATTATATTAAAGCATATAGATCATGAAATTCCTTCAGATGTTTTGTAAACATGATACGTGATCACATTGTGTCAGGAATTTCATTTGAATATCCATTTGATAACTGAATGAAAAAACAAGTATTTTGCCAAATGATGGCATTGTCTCTGCTCGTATGAGTAACAGCCTCGTTCACAGTATGTACTGTTTTATTAATACTATCATTTGATCTAAGTTAAATCAAGCTAGTGCAGCTAGATCCTGGGATCGTTTGTTTGATGAATTGGAAATATTCAAATTTGACATGCTGAATATATTGCTACCGCCTTAATTAATCTATAAACCCTAGCACCAACATTTGTATTGCTAAATAATGATATATGCACTACATTTATACATGTATTAATCAAATACAAATTTATGTTACATTTTTGTTATTAAACTGAAAGAGTTCTGAGGGGAAAACAGACCAACCAGATATTCATTTGCCTGTGCCTGACGTTACTCTGTCTCTACCTATCGTTCATTGTCATGATGTCACTGGACAGCGCAAAACGTCAATACCAAGTAAAGGCAGGTCCATGCGGGTTCATTACGGCGCTCGTTCACTACTTCGTTCTATCTTCGCTCACTTGGATGGGTGTGGAGGGATACAATACTTATCTCATCATCGTCAAGATCTTTGATACCTACATTCCACGGTTCATGCTCAAAGCTGGTGGCGTTGCTTGGGGTACAACCATTTCAAAATTGTTATCAGTGTATCGAAATTGATCCTTAAAAAATAATGCGTTTTTCTAATAGATAAAGAATATTTATAATCTCGAATGATTTATACAATTAATACATGTAAAATAAACATCAACCACCATAAGATTACATTGCCAGCATTTAATAGAGTGCAATATGAAAGGGTAAATGTTGCCAACACTATCGATATTTAATTTCCAATTAACATGGTTTTACAAGGTAAATATTTAAGCTGCATGGTTGCATCTTGGGCAGGATATTTTGTTGTCTACTTTTCAAAACAGTATTCCATCTAAAAAAGATCTATACAAAGATCTCTCGAGTGATTCACAAATTGATCGTAAAATTGTTTTCTAGAAGGAGAAAAAATACAAGGAGATCTACTTCTTAAGTGAATGCCTGTATGTATGCATGCCGCATTCATGACCGCCGTTGCTATGTCATTTTCGCGATTGTAATATCAATCGCCACCTTCATCCTTTCCTTTCACTTTGCTTAAATCACACAATGGCAATTGTGAACATTTTCTCTTATTCTCCTTTTAGGGAAAGGCTTTAAAACTGTCAATTGACACGTGAAAATATAATTAATCATAATAATTGTCTTCCCCTTTTTAAAAAATAAATTCAAGGTATTCCTGCACTGATTGTCATTGTAACTGGAGCCATTGCCGAGGACAAATATGCGCACGGAGATGTGTGAGTAGTCTGTTAACCTGTTAATATCATAATCTCCAAACCGAAATATATTTACAATGTTTTGTAGTTTTTTATAACATGATCAGTTGGGCCTTTAGGTGACAAGTTAAGGGTAAACAAAAATAGAGCCATAATTGTTTATATTTTTGAACCAAAATATTTAAGCAAATTTAATTTTCATACAGCATTTCATCTCCTTTTATAGAAATTTCGCTTCACAAAACCGTCTCAGTCTTGTATGGTTCACTTAATCAAGAAAGTAAATTACATGTATTTTAATTTCGAACAAAAATACATGCCACATTACTTCAAATACCTGTGTATGCGGAGGTGAGTTGGCTCAGTCAGCAAAGCATCTGCTTGTAGTACCAAAGATCATGGGTTCGAGACAAACCCAGAGGCGGATGACTGAAGCCTGTGTTGTAAGTTAACGAGCCCCTCCCCTATTTCATAGACGCATGCTATGTTACAGTGGAGAACACTCCGTCCCTCGGGTTGGACGTTAAATGGAGGCCCCTGTACAGGAGAGTCACCACCTTTGCACGTTAAGAACCCACCGCACTATTCGTATTTGAATATGGGAAACCCCGGTGTAGTGGTCCGCCTTCACACTCCCAATTAGATGAGACCCACGGATTAAAGTGATTCAGTTCGCTTTTTGCATGCCAGGCATAGGTGATGCCAAATACTTAACAGTAATAATATTTGGGGTGTACCGAATGTTAGTGTATTATGACATTTTGACACTGGGGGCACGTTTATTTTGGAAGTGGTTAATGATTTCCATTTTTTTCCCTACATATTTTCTTTTTTTTCTTCACAATTTCTACCGGATCTCTAGATGTTTTCTCGAATTGTGGGCTCAAATCGGTGGTCTCCTTATTCCCATGACAATTATTCTCCTGTTCAACGTCGTCATCTTTGCCCTCATCGTCCGTCAACTTATGAAGTCTTCTAATCTCGCTGGTCGGGTGAAGAAAGAGGCCAAGGTGGAACGTAGAGAGAACATCAAACGGGTTCAAAATGCAATCTGTATCCTCCTTCTGCTTGGTCTTACATGGATCACTGGATACTTCCTCATGATCCGAGAATTCAGTCAGGTGCAGTAGAAAGAACAATATCTATATTAGAGAAACATAACGTAATTGCATTTTTCTATTGTGAAACTTGTGAAAGTTTATAGGATACTGTGACCAGACACGTAAGAAATGTCATTGAAGTTAATATACGTGTATATCATATACAGTTAACCATTTAGTTATTCATACCCCATTTTGATGTTCATGTGTATTTTGTAACTCACGAATGAAAGGTGGACTGGTTGAATTAGAGCCTTTGGTGAATACTTTTAGATTTATGCTTTGATATGTCTCATTCTCAAGAAACATAAATTGGGACAAATCAATTTTTCACAAACTTCGAAAATTACAAAGCTTGGTAGGGTATGAATAATTTAGTTGTTAACTGAATGTGTGCTCGAGGTTGTGTGTTTGAACAGGGAACCGTTTGAGTATAAAGACGTTATGAAAGTTTCAACCGCAACATTTTTGTTATGATTATCTTTATTCTATGTTATCCCAGGTGGTTGAGCCCATCTTCATTATACTGAACTCATTTCAAGGACTCTTCATCTTTCTGCTCTACTGTGTTCGTAAACCAATGGTTCGTAAGCAGTGGGGACTGACCTGTCTGGATAGAGTCAAGAGACAACAAGACGCTACCACATCGAATATCACACATAGCCCTGAATCTAGGCCCCTATCAACTTCTTTGGACGCGAAGCCGCAAGAGAAGAACAACGAGACAAGTGCCATGCTTTGAGTTTGAGTATTCTCATTTCAATAAGATTTGTGTATTTGTATCTCACTTTATAGGTTATGTAATTTTAATTGTTGTGTCATTTGTGTTATATGGGAAATGAAATACAGTGCACTTGGAAAAAAGATACATAAAAAGAAATTCTCCAAATATTCTCACCATGTACAAAGGTGTGTAACTTGCTTTAGTTACCATTTTGACTCAATATAGGTTGGGATATCAATCCAGCTGTACAATTACTTTTTATAATTTGATATTGGGAGAAAAAAAGAAAAAAACTTCCATGAATACAACCGAATTTGCGAATCTTACGCTCGGATACAAAAATGGCCAACATGTATATATTTCATAATTGGGCGAATCAACAATTTCATCGAAAATGGATGTATATACCTACATTCCAAACATATCAACAATGAACATATGATTTATTCAAACGTGTTCCAGAGTAAACTTTTTAGAGAGCATTCCCCCCTCATAAATGGATATAAAAATTATTATAAAACCGGAAGAAATCTATGTTTGATAATAATAATAATACATGAGATTTATATAGCGCCATTATCCATTTTAATTAAATGCTCAAGGCGCTTCAAAATATTAGGAACACATTACATCATGACAAAGAATCGGTACATTTACATAAGAAAGAAAATGCAAAAATGAAAGAATGAATGAATGAATGAATGTCTGTCTTCAAAACGCGAAATTAACAAATGGGATTTAAGGTTGCTCTTAAAAGATGTTGAAGAGTCGGAGTTCTTCAGCTCCTGTGGAAGTGAATTCCACAGGGCTGGTCCGGCATGAGCAAAAGTCGTTCCCCCCAAGATTTCTTTGAAAGCGGTATGTGTAGAAGACCAGAGTTGGAAGATCGGAGGGTACGTGTGGGTTGGTAGAGGTGAACTAAAGACTGGTTGTATTCAGGAGCTGTTTTGTTCATGATTTGATGAACTAAAAGAAGGATTTTGAAAATTATACGTTCTTTTACAGGCAACCAATGGAGATTTTGTAAGATAGGAGTAATGTGACTATGTTTGCTTGACAGAGTAATGATGCGTGCAGCTGCATTTTGTAGTTTTTGTAACTGTGCAATTTGTGAATTTGGTAAATTATAGAGTAAACTGTTGCCGAAATCCAAACGTGAAGAAATAAGTGAGTGAACAAGTTTCTCTGTTGCCGAACGAGTCAGATATTTCCGTATGAAGCCAATATTGCGCAATTGATAGCGAACTGATCTGGAAATGCTTGTGATTTGTTTGGACATAGACATTAAGCCCGAGGTCTCTGTCTTTTTGTTGTCATATAACTCTATCCCTATAGACCCTGTACAATACCTTGTATCTAGTGGTACCATGGATGGAACGTTTTAATTTAACAAACTAACATCAATCCTTTAAATAGATTATGTAATGTAACAATTCCAAAATATTATATTTATTACCTGTAAGTATTAAAAAAGTGGGATATATCATTATGGACTGTTTGTTTTAACCCTCCTTATGCTTTCAAGGGACAAATAATAGCTTGGTCGTGGGAAGTGTTCCTGGTGAGGTATAAATGATATGTTTAAGCCCAGAAATTATCCCCAAAGAAATGTACATGCATTAGGTTAGACTAGGTTTAATGTTTCACTCTTTCGTCTTCACTGAACTTATTAATGGTAAATTATATAGCTAGTTGTTAAGTTTTTTTGTTGGATGTTTTCTTGTCCAAAATTTCAAATATGAAAAAATAATCATTTTGCACAGTACTTCATGAAATATTGAAAATGTGATATGTAGAATACAGATGCTTTTACATTATAGAATCGTCATCGTTTATTTTAATGTTGAACTTACTTGGAAACCATTGTAAGGTACATAGTATACATACAGCTAAGTGCTCCACTACCCCCTTGTAACTTCCTCCCTTAGAATATTAACATTAGCCGATTGTATTGCAGGCTAGGGTCGTAAAATTTCCACTTTTCGTTTTTTCTGGGGTTTTGGGGGTAAATATTTCGAGGATAGTTATCCTCGAAGTCGAGGCCTTATTTAAAAGATAAGGTGTAACTTGCTTTTGTTCTTTATATCTATTCTTATATTTTTAAAAGTGTCCACAATGGTACATTAATAAATTTTCCTTGTTAAAGAGAAGGATGAGTTCTGGGAAAGGCTGGGGAAAATAATTCGTGAACCTTTTCATTCTTTTTTATGATATAATGCATTTATAATTTTTTATATATATATATATATATAGCTACACTATATACAGATGAAATATACAGATACAGTTACCGCACGAGAAAAAAATATACATGATGTACACTTTTTAAAGAGGTTAAAAAAAGACAAATTAGGGAGTAGATTAAATAAGAAAGAATACAGTATAAAGTATCCAACAAGTGATTAAAACCTTTCTAAAGTTACGGTTTGTTATATCTAAGGAAATCCATATTTTCCTGTGAAAAACATAGATTTGCTATAAAAAAACAACACAACCGTTCTACTTTTTGGCAAGTGATAATCATTGAATTGTCTAGTTTTGTATGTAAGTAATGTATTGTGTTTTTTTTGTTTTTTTTACTTCTTCAAGACAAAAGGTATGATATTCTTATCAAGTTTGTATTAAATTGATATAACTGTAATGGATAATGGTCTTTTATCTTAGGAATGTGATTTTGGCGAAATAAAATATCAGCTAGTGCTCTAAAGGAGGTATTACACTTTATTCCCGAAACTAATTTCTGGAGCAGTATAATAATCCTGACATCAGATGGTTCAACGTCGAATAAACAAATTAGTTGTAAGAAATACCTTGACAAAAATGTAAATTCACATGTTGATGTTTATACTAGGTTACTTGTTACTTGTAGAGATAATCCCGATGGCAGCTATCATACAGCTAAACTGGGATGTCCGTGCAACGTGCTGGCATAGTGACAGTGCATGAAGTAATTCAAAACAGTGAATGATGTCTATTATTTACAATAAAGCGGTGGACGTGCAAGTAAAAACCAAGACGTGGAGTCTACAGTAGCTTGGACCCAACAGGAGGAGGCAACGCTCTGATGATGGGTAGAGCAGCCTCCTGGAAGATGGTCACTGTTGGAGATATTACCGCAGCAGCTGATAGGTGGTTCCACGTCCAGATGGTGCGAGGATAGAAGGAGTACTTGAAGCTATCAATGGAAGCTGGGGGTACTGCATACTTCAGAGGGTGATCATTTCTGCCCAGATATGTAGCTGGGATAATGTAAAGGTACCCTTTTACCCTCTCCCCCCCCCCTCTCTCTCTCTCTCTCTCTCTCTCTCTCTTTATCTTATCTCATATCTTTTCTTCTTTCTTCTATACTATCTCTCCTTTCTATGGTGCCATCAATGTGAATATGTCTTGTAGCACTTTCTCTCATTTGTCTTTCATATATTTAAATATACATTTAAATATACATTTAAATATACATTTTATGTAAATAATTGTTAAGGTATTAAATATTTTGTAATTGTAATGTTATTGCATTTTTAAAAAAATATTTCTTTTTGAAATACTGTTTGTATATACAACCTTGTGTTATCTTTTTGTATGTCTATGTCTATGTCTTTATTGAATTTGATTTTTGTACCTTGCAAGAGTTTTCAACTCCAGCTGATTGTGACAGTGATCATGGTCCTATAGAAGCATACTAATCACCAGATGAATATAAACAATATGTGTCACTTACATACTCACCAAATAGCATTGCTAAAAGGTGTTCATGTTTTCATGTTAACTGTAGCAGCCTATGTCGTAACTTTGATAACTTTTTGTTTTGTTAGTTCTTTGTCAATGCAACCTTCTGTTATTGGTATATCTGAAACATGAAATAACGATCAATCTCCGTTATCTCTGTATAATCTTGAAAATTATGACTATGTAAATAATAATATTATATATAGAAAGAACACGCATGGATGAAGTGTTGGTAGTTTTATTTGGACTGACATCAGTTACAAACAACGTCCCGATTTAGATTTGAACACACCTTTTATTTAAAGTCTGCTTATTAACATTCAAAATTGTAACACTTCTATATTACTCGGTGTCATTTGTAGACCTCCTATTTAACAAACAGATGTTTTTTTTTTCATCTCTAGTTACTGATGTATTTGAGATAGTAATTAGAGAGAAAAGTATTTTTGTTTATTCATGAAAACACATATGACACAATAATAAAGATATGACATAAAACCCAGGACAGGGATTTGAATTGCATTGGATGCATCTCAGGCAGGGTTACAATGACAATACACAATAACAATGACGGAAAAGAAAACATTATAAAATCAGTTTTTAAACTAAAAACATTGAGACTTCCTAACTAATAACAGTATCATAATCAATGCAAACTCCAGAATAAACCCTATTAAATTACACGTATTTATATATGATAGCAATAAAATTGAGAAAGAAAGAGAGCAATAGAGTAGTAGTTAAAGAAAGAGTGGAAGTAAGAATGAGAGCAAGGAAGACGCAGATAGAGAGAGGGAGTGAGAGAGAAAGAAAGGAAGACAGAGAGAGAGAGAGAGAGAGAAGGTAAGAGAGAGTAAAGAGAAATCAGAACTCCCGGTATAAACATAATTATGCCTACCAACTTAAACTTAAACTTAAACTAAATAAATACTCCTCCAGGCATATTTACGATGGCTGATTTTAATATATATATGCATGTTGGCAAGGTTCGCATTGTAACAGAAGTTTTAGAAATGTTAATGCTTTACTCAATCTGCCTCTGTACTTGATGATATAATAACTAATGAGGCAATGATACTTGTGCGCAGGCGCGTACGCAGGGGGGGGGGGGGGTGGAGGTTGAACCCCCACCCCCCTTTCATTTTTTTTATGTGTGTTTTGGTGGAAACCCCCCCCCCCTTTCATTAAAAAAAAAAAAAAAAAAAAAATAATATATATATATATATATATATATATATATATATATGACCCCAAAAAGCTGACCGTACCTCCCCCCCCCCCCCCCCCCCCTAACGAAAGAAAAATCGAACGGCCAAATTTTCAAATTTTGGGACAAAAAAAATATATGAATGTCCTCTTAGGTTGCATTAAGAAAACATTAAATGTTATAAAGTTTCCCACGGCCATGATAGAGATAAGGTGAGCCCCCTTCGTTGGTAAAGTGGAGGCATTATGACTGGATACTCTTGTGTTTGACCTTACTATTGGGATACTCTCTGTAATCAACCCTAATATCATTAGATTTTTTTACCATAGCGTGACATCTACATGCATAGCATAGATCAAGGGACCACCTGATATTGTTAATGTCGATGTTTAACCCTCAAGTAGGTATATTATTTCATGATAGACAACAACCTGACTTGTAATTCTAAATGTGTATGTATCGGGAAAGCATCATTGAAAATAAGATAAGATTAAAGATAAGATAATTTAATGCGTTTCCACAATATCTCATTTTACAAAGAGTGTAACAACATATTGAAGAATGATTATAATATAGGCCTAGATGTATACAATACTGGTACACACTATTCTGAAAATCGTCCTTCAATATTTTGAACTTAAGAGATGTAGCGGTGGAGCCTATGGGGGAAGCAGAGCATGTTGTGGATAGGCTCCTTAAACTACAAATGACATAATTAACCAAAGAAAAGTTTATAAAATACAAAATACACGCTAAAACAGGGAAAGGGAGATTACAGGGATACATGAACGGATACTCACAATTAACTACAAAAGACAAGGGAAAGGGAAGGGAATATATCTTAGCATAAGAAAAAAAGGATCAGGGGGGACCAACATGCACCGTTTAGCCATCGTTTTCTATATAGAGGGAGCAGGTAGCTACAAGTAGTACAGTGGGGCTTTAAAGAGCTAATATTGATTGAGTGGTTGAAATTATTTTTGCCCTCCCCGCCCCTCTCTCTATCCTTCTGTCTATCTCTCTCTATCCCTCACCCCCCCCCTCTCTCTCTCTGCCTCCCCCTCTCTATCTCTCCCCCCTCTCTTTATCAAAATTGTAACTGATATATGCTATTACTCTCATAACAGTATTAAAGCAATGAGAATGAGATAAAAGCATTCAATGATGTCTGCATTGGGCCAAGGATGTTTTCACAATTTCAATCATAACAGCAATACATGTACATCATAAAATACTGAACATAACACACTGTATTTCTCATTTTTATGTTTTTTATTTTTTTATTTACAGACCATGAAGAAAAATAATAAACAGCAATATCTTTACCCAACTACAGCAACACCTGTAACACTATGTCAAAACTGCTTAAGAGGAGCAGTCTGTATATGCAGGTGGTTTTTATGTACAACCTAATTTAACAAAGGTTCCAGTGAATGAACAAAAAAGTGCAGGGAAGCAACAAATCTAGTCTTTATAGACTTCTCTTGCTTACAGGTCGTTGTCAAAGCTGGGTTGGTTGTCCTTTTATTTCTAATTTTCATTTACACTGTCTTTGACGGATATATCAGACAAAAGAAAACAGCATGTATACAAATAGCAGCCAGCCAGAGACTGGTACAATCATGTACCTCTTGATTTACAATTAAAAAACTTTCTCCATCTGAGTTTATTTTCTAAAGGTGATATAGACGCATTTCGTCGCTGTTTTCACGAAGTGACGGTAGTGAAAAAAAATTGCATTCCCTTTGCGTTACGATTTTCCTCGCTACCGTCACTTCGTGAAAACAAGGACGATTTGTTGCAATGTCCTTTTCACTTGCTGGAGGAAGATTCAAATCCCATTAATGTTCCTTTCTTGATAAATTGTGAATTCCAAATCACATACACTAGATTTCAATAAAACATGAAGACATTGCAGTTCTATCAGATATAAATACTGGTACATATTCAGACAGAAAAGAGGTCTATTAAAAAAAACTAAAAAACATATACAATATGATGATAAAATAGCATTTTATGAGAATAAACAGACAAAAGGCACAGAATCCTGGTATAATATGTCTGTATACCTGTTGCTAGACGTGAATGGGTACTCTCAACAGGACTGTACTGTATACAACTGCTACACAATTTAAAAAAAAAAGGATGACATACCAACCTTTTACAGACTAAAATGTGTAAACTTACTTTAAAGGGATAGTTGAGTTTTGTTGCAGAGGGCGCTACTCAAAATATTTTTTTTGGTGAGATAATGAAAAACTGAGTATTAAATTTAAAAGAACATATAATTTAAATGAAAAAAAAATCATCTTTGTTTGATAAAAATCAGCTCAGAGATGATTTCTGATATTTGTTGTGCCCCACAAATATTTGATAATTCGAACCAGCTGTTGAAAAAAAAAATTGAGTTAGCTCTTATACCTTTTATTCCAACCAATGCTGATGTTGGCTCTTTGTTGGCTTTATTGTGTTGGTTATAATATGCACAACCAGCCGGCCCATGTATTGTTGTTATCAATTAATCAATTAATTAAAGGTCACCATATTTTTTTGACATTGGAGCTGAATTGGTACGATCGTATTGGCTAAATCTCACACATTTTGGGGACTAAAATTACCTTCATAGCAATTTTAGGTCCTAAGAGAGCATTAGAAATGTCATAACAATAATAATAATAATATTTAATTTTTATATAGCGCTTAATACAAATGTCTCTAAGCGCTTTACAAATATACTAATACCGCGGTCATTGGATTCAGTGCTTGCCCGCACACAATGTGTGCACAATCTCCACTCCCTGGGGAGCATTCCAGCTAGGGGTTACTTGACGCTCACAAGCTGTCTGACCAACAATGACGGCCGCATCCTACCGGGTACCCATTTGACACCTGGGTGGAGAGTAGCAAGTGCAGTTAATATCTTGCCAAAGGATATTAGTGCCATGTGAGGATTCAAACCCTCGACCTTCGCATCTCCAGTCAAGCGCCTTAAACCACTCGACCACGGCAATAACCATACACTCTGAAGGCATTTGCTGTCTGAAACAGGAACTCAACTATCCCTTTAATAACACACCCTTAATACATGGTCAGTCAATTGTGCATAGGTAGAAATAATAAGCAAAGCTCTAATGTGCACATAAAATTTGCAATTTACAATCGAATGTAGCAGAATTAAATTCTAAAGTACAGGAAATCATGTACATGAACAATATGTATGCAGAAATTAAGCGTACCATTTCATTTGCTAACCATTTTATTATTTGATGCAAACATATGAAAAATGATTTTGTGGACAGTAGTTCTTAATACATCATAATTTGCTAAAGATCTTTTTAAAATTCTGCCAAATTCTTGTCTTTCATTTTCCATCTATTGTCATAGTGACAGCCTATGGCAAATACAATCCCAATACCTTTCAACATCATACTAGGTCTCATTCCTGGGTATGGAGTGGCAACTGAACATCAATACCTTTCCATTGGAGAGTAGTACTGCAGGAGCAGGAGTCGAATCAAAGACATACATATCGCAAGTAACAGATAAAGACCAGTTCTGTGCGATTACATTGTCAAAGAAACCTTTGGAGCGATTGCAAAAGGTTGGTTATGCAGCACATAAAAGTTGGTGTATACTGCGAGGTTTAAGAATCACCGAAATGAAAAGATTATGGAGAAGTTTTCCTAAAGGTCATACGCACTCTACACAGAAATGAGTATATGGGACTGACTCAAACGTGAAAGTTGTGGTCCGTGTGTAGCAGTTACTTGTCAGATGTCGAATATGAGTGCATTTGAAAAGCCATCCTTTTCATGGGACTCTTCCACAAAAACATAAAAAGAATTAAAAAGTTCACATACTATTTGTTCACCTTTCTCAGAACTCAATGTTCTCTTTGAAGCCTTTCTGCACTAGTTTGGCCAGGAGGGATTAGACCTCCCTGCATGGTCACTGACAGGTAGTTATCTCATCAAATCAGCTCTTAATTAACATAAGACAAAGTGGACCATGGGGAATCACCGGGTACCGCTTAGGCATTGTTGGCTGTATAGTCCCGCTTTAAATCATCCAAGCAGTCGACTATGCCTGGTTGAGCTATACCATGTCTCTACATTTACTTAGACTTAGTCGTCTTTTTGTGCACCATATCCTTGAAGTCTGATAGGATCTTAGTCTCCCTCTTGCCGCGTTCCTCTTTGTTGAATGACAGGAGAGCCCTCTTCTCATCCGCACTGTAGATCTGGTTTTCCTTCCTCAGACGAACAGCTTCCATACGTCGATGTCTGAATAATAACACACACAGACAGGGATGTATTAGAGTGATAGTGAGGAAAATTACGATATTCAAAAATAATGATGTACATAGTACCAAAGCAGTGCACAACATCATCATTTATTAAAGTCAGCATTTCACTTCTTACAAGGGTTTACTGACTTTTGCGCCTAGAAGACACTCCCTCCATCTACTACCTGTCTTGAGCATCCTCCTCATTTAGACCAAACTTACAGCTTTCTTTCTCCACCATATCTTTCCATGAAATCTTCGGTCTTCCTTTCCCTTTTATGCGATCCACTTCTCGATTCCAAGCTCTTTTCAAAGGTTCATCATCTTCCCTTTCCAACACACAACCCATCCAGCTCAATTCACTTTTCATTACATTAAAATATCAGCTTCTCATATTACCCTGTCTTAAGAGAAATTGCAAAATCTATCACTTTAAACAAAGGGGCACCTGTACGTTGATGCAGCAGTGTGTCAGCATTTTATGTAATTCCTTTGTTTTCCTTCATGTTTTTAAAATGTTCAGCCATAGAATGCCAAGTAGAGATATATTTAGTTGATCTGGGCCCCGTCTTATAAAGAGTTGACATTAATTGCAACTTATTTGTGAGTGATATCAATGACAACTATGTGCATAAGAGACAGGAGATTGCAAACTTGCGATTGATTTGGATCAATAAGATGGGGCCCTTGGGGGTGTTTCACGAAGATCCTAAGTCGAACTTAACTCTAAGTTGGACTTTGGAGAGACATGTGTAGCCTTAAAAAAGAATATATTCAAAAGTGATAATTGAAGTATTTTAGACTTTTCATAAATTCCTCATCAAGAACATGATATCTCCTTGATAAAAGAAAATATGAATGATTTGAATCAACATTTTATGCCTTTTAAAATGACTTTTACAAAATATCTTCAAAGATGCTAACGGCTTTCCATAATTTTTAAGTCCAACTTAGACATAAGTTCAACTTAGGATCTTTGTGAAACACCCCCCTGGTTTACATGAATTATTGCAGAATGAAAGTAAGATTCTTGGGTAAGGATGATGAAGACTAACCTGCTACCGCTCATGACGTAGCCAACATCCTCATAGCTTGAGATCTCACAACTAGTCAGACCAATCTCACCACGGCGAGGGATTCTCTTACCATCCTGAACAAAGGCAGCCATAGCAGCACCTTCACCAGGTAGCAGGGCTTTACCAAAGCTACACAGAGAGAGAGAGAAGAGGTGGGCAAAGAAAATTACTCAGGGGTGATAGTAAGCACTAAAAAACCATGCCCTCCTTGAGTAAAAAAAAAAAAAAAAGAGGAAAAAATGGCATCTAACAACATTCCCCCCCCCCCCCCTTGGAGTAAGAAAAATTTGGAAATAATAGGGAAATAATAGGGAAAAATAGGGAAGAATTGAGAAAATAAGGGAAAAATTGGGAAAATCAAATATAAAATTGGGATAAAATTGGGGGAAAAAAAAAAAATCTGGAAAAAATCTGGAAACCGATTTAAATCAGGTTTTTTTTTAATCAGGTTTTTATCAGGCCTGATTACTCAAGATCTTGCTCAAGGCATACTCAAATAAATGCCATAAAACTCAGGTATTCAATCCTCCTCTTTGGTCATGTCTATCCAGTCATTGCCCAATAATATCATGCCCCCACCACCAGCCTCCCTTGTTTAATGTATGCTGGCACAATTCATGTTGTTGACTTAGGAAAAGAGGATACAACCTATTCATGATAACTTTATGAATCAGAGCAATATAACACTGAGCTCCTATAGGAAATCTATTCATTCAGATGGTCATATCTTAGCCAATACTTCACATTTTCAACTGGTTTTTGACATTTGCACATTATTTGTTATGCTCTTTCGGAAAATGTCACAGCTTCCGTACTCTAATACTTACTCCATGTAACTTGCTGCTGAGAATGAAGCGCTGGCCGGCATAGGACCAATCATCTCACTGTCTCCTTGTCTCCCTGCTACAAAACAAAATGAATAACATTCAACACACTGCCTATGGTAACTACATGTACGGGGTCCCTCTACTAATGTGAACCGCTAAACATTGTTGAAAGTTGATAACAAAAACTGTGTAATTTTGTTTGAAATGTTACTTATTATATTTCTTCTACTGTACTTACCCTCTAACATGAAAAAAATCCTGAGAAAATTCTCAAACCACAAAGCAATTTATGGTTTTCTTTTAAGGTGTCAATGTGTGACCCCTTTAACAGTAAATTCTCCCAACCAGTTTTAGAATTTTCCAAACCATTTTTCCATGAAAATAATACATAAAACAGGCTTTTAATTTATTTCATCCATTCAAAGAGAAGCTTAAGTTCTGGTCATGATGAAAAAGAAATCTTAGCTTCATCATTCTTTATATGTCCATTTGGAAGAATATCAAAGGAGAAATGTCCCCTGGGAGGACTGGCATATTGTTCATAGGAAACACAACCACATATTTTTTCATTACAATGATATGTTGGCTATTGTAAGCAACTTACTCTACACTTTTTGATGCGCTGATGATATTTACAATAAAACTGTAAAAGTTCTAAAAACACAATTATAGGCATTGGTTACAATTATTGAAGTTACATTCATCATTTTTTCTATAATATCCACTACTGACCAACAAACAGCAATGCTTGAGCAAGATGAAAATTGAGGATTTAACACAATTTGATATCTTACTTTTGGAAACTTCGACCCACTGCTCCTCATCGTCTTCAGCTTTGTCAGAATCGTCTGAATCTGAGTCATCCTCATCATCACTAGTGGCTTTCTTCTTCATCTTCTTACTGTGTATAGAAACAATACATACATACATCAAATAGCTTACAGTTCTAAGTCAACCTGTGCGAAACGTCGAGCCATTTCCGCCACCCATCCTCTCCACGTGCTATAGTTCTCCTTAGAACTATAAGCTAAGAAAGATAACCAACAGTCTTTTTCAAGACTACACCAACAGTCCTTTTCAGGACTACACACCCTCAAGAAAGATTACCGAGAATCCTTTTCAGGACTCCTCAATCCTCCCACTCTATCACATGGTGCATCCGCAAGCCTACTGTATAATTAATTGCTTGTTCGTTAAACATACCTCTTCTTTGATTTCTTCTTCTTTTTCTTTTCCTTTGCTCTCCTCTTCCTTTTCCTTTCCTTTCTCTTTCTTCGTTTCTCCTCTGGAAAAAAAAGTAAAGTACATATCAGTAAATAGAAGGGAAGCTTTCTTTACATGTTGGTTGTCCCAGTCCTGGTAAAAGTAACAAGCACTGTACACAGAAAAATTTATATGGGACTACACAAAGATGTGATAAGAATGTTGTCCTCATTTTTAAGCTGTTACATGTCATATTTAGAATATATGAAGGCATTTGAAGAGCCATACTTTTCAGGAAACATTTTTTCTAATTTTTGTTGTTGTATACGATATGTAATCCTGTTAATTCATGCGTATTTAAATCTTTAGATTAATCATGTAATTCATTGTATAATTGATTGTTGTAAAGCACATAGAGAATTTATTATTATGCGCTATATAAAAATGACTTTATTATTATTATTATTATTATTATGTTCTTCCACACTTGCATAATAACAATGAAAACGCTCACAAATTCTTTTTTCACCTCTTCACAGAACTCAACCTCCTCTTTAAGATTCAGAAGTCATTTAAGTGATCACCATTTATAAACATCTATAAGTGTTATATCATGTTCCATACTTTTAGTTTGTCTCTATAAAAAAAATGCTGCTATCATCCAAAGCGACAACGTATAAGGTTTACTTGTTGTTTCAATCTGCCGCTTCCTCTAATGAAGGTCCACGAGGAGATTGGAGAATACAGTAATAAAAACTATTAGCTACATTTATACTGCATACATATCAATCCAAGAGGATGCTTAAGAGCATTCACAAAGTATTACCAATACCCTGGCTGCATCTAAGCTGCCAAAAGGTGCTGCAAGCATTAAATAAACTACTTCCAACACCTGGGTTGAGAGTGGCACGTATATAGAAACTAACCTTCGCTATCAGCTTCACTCCCGCTGCTCCCTGAACCCTCCTCCTGCCCTGCTTCCTCTTGTTCAGCTGCTGCATCAGAACTTAATAACAACAAAAGGTCAGGTAAATATCATTTCTCTTTCTGAAAAGAATATATCTACTTGTGAATCAAAGAAAAACAATCATATTCTGGTATAGTGCATGTCACATTCGGATATAACTTTGCTATGTGCTTCCAAAGAGCTTTGAACATTATTCCTCTGAGTTTAGCTGTTGCTGTAATGAGCATGTTATCAATTATTTTGCCTCAGAGGGTTTTGCCACTGTGAAAGAAAAAAAAACCTTTGTTGACAAGAACATAGACTGTATTTACCATCATACTTATCATTAACTTATTTGTAAATGCTTACTCGTCCTCTGGTTTCTCTGGAGATGCACCCCATACCTCAAGCATTCCCATGGCTGATATCTTCTGTCGCTCTTGCCCTCTCCTGAAAGTAAAGAATATATCCTGGTGAATGCTTTGCTTTCTAAGACACTATTTTAAATGGATATCTTACATGTACATCATCATCATCGATACACAGGAGTGAGGTAGTCCTGTACATGTAGGTCTCCCGGTCGTCTTCCAAGATATAAGTTCAAATGTCAGTTTGCGACTTAAGACGTAGTGCAGAACGTGTGGATGTCAGGTTATATGAAATTGTTTAACAGGCCAGTCTTACAGTCATACAGAGAAAAAACAAGATGCTTAATACTTAATAATAAATTTATGAAACATACAGACATGTAAAATATAATTCCTTCCGTTATTCACCACCTGATACATAAGTTAATTTAGTTTCTTAGAGTAAAAATAGTCCAACATAATTGTCTGTAGAAAGCAAATTTGCATTTCCATAAGAAGCGTTTGCCAGCACTATTAGAACATCTCTGATCTCTTACAACCTCACCTCTCAAAGAAAAGATTTAGCTGATCATTGTTGTCATCACGTCTGCGGTGGTGTCCATTCTGATGTGAAGCGTTATCAGCTTTACCCCCGTTTTGATTGATGTCGTCCCTGTACTTTGCGATTTTGGAGTTGAGATCCTTTTCAAACTGTTCTCTATCAAATCCCTTGTCGAATCTTGATTCTCGCTTCCTGCCCCCTTCACCTCTGTGTGAATCTCTTCTATCTCTGCTATTATCATTCACTGATTGTGTCCTTCGAGGTGGGGATCTGTTTCTCCCGTATGAGTTCTGTACAGGACTGTCTCTTCTGTACCTTTCCCTTGCTGGTGATCTAGCGTCTCCAGGACTGTCTCTTCTATACCTTTCCCTTGGTGGTGGTGATCTAGAGTCTCGAGAACTGTCCGAACTGTCGCTATTTGAGGATGATCTCCTTCGTTCTCTGCTACGCCTTCTTTCTCTGGACTTGGACCTAGATCTGTTTCTAGCTCTGCTGGATTTATACCTGTCTCCATTTGAACGGTCTCTTGAATCTGATCTAGACCTGCTCCTGTGGTGTCTTGACTCCTCTCGTCTCGTCTTCTTGCTAGACTTGCGGTCTGGACTGTAGCTTCTTTCTCTGCCCCTGCTGTGAGAATGGGAGTCCTTGATTCCTGGCCCCATTCTTGTAGTGACTACAAGAATGAAAATGAATTTATAGGGGGGAAACGTGAGATCTAGATCTACATGATACTGATTGATAGACTGATGATAGAGTCTCATTTCTTTTCCAAGACAGTGGAAGGGCGCATGCATGAAGTTAAAGACCCTTATGATGATCTGAGATTACAGTGGCTAACTTCACACTATGGTACTACACAGCGGTTTGCCGTGAATCTGTGACTGTGTCTGTGAGTGTGCACGTGAGAAAGTGCACATTATGTTTTTGCTTCAAGGAAAAATACTTCAAAGAAGATAAGGAAATTGACACGAAACAAGTAAGAAACATAACAACTTTTAAATCATGATTATTATTTGAACAATTGATGAAGATTTGGTCGATTTTTGGTATGTTTTAGTAGGGTATCTCCACGCCAGAGTTACGGGTCAAAGCCCGGTGGCAAAGCGCAAATTTGGAAACTGCAATGACGCGCCGCGACAGCTCTAAAATCACACGTCGTCAGAGAGCGCTTTCATACTAAATTGTTTAAAAATAAAACTTACTAAACTGTTCTTCAATTACTTATAAACATGTTCTACTAGATATTCAGTATGATGATAAAAGTAAAGAAGCAGCATTGCAAACTCACTGCGTAGATCTTATTATGTTATTGATTCGTCTTGATCACTCTCGATCTCGCCTATCGTAACCTCAATCTTATGGAATGAACCGGAAGTAAAATGGTACGAATTCGGTTCAAGGTTCACGGTGACACGGATTGCAAATAAGACCCTTTCGGTTAATTGATCAGTTCGGATAGATGTTGTGTTTGTTTCCTGGTTACATGAGAAAATAAGTGGATGAAACACCCTATCAGAAAATTGTTAAAAGGAATACCACTAAAGACCACCCGTAAAGTTACTATTATTTGAAATTATTCTTTCATATCATAAACTACGCAGGGGATACTCTTTGACAATACCGGTTATTTTCATGTAAACAATGGCAATGTTGTCATGACAATAAACCAAGGGAAGAGCAATGTCGCAATATGGCTGTGCCTGCTGGCATCAAACTAGAGGAAGGGAGCAGTCATTTTGTTTCTAACAGCTTTCCTGTTCGACAGATATTTGGATCGTCTGATAGTGGTGAGAATATATGATCATGTTTTTCCATATTATGGCAAAATAGTACAAATTTGACGATGTTGTGCGTTTTCTAATGTCGGCTACTTTTGTAAACAAGAGTGCACGCACTGAATCCGGAAAGAGTTGGGATGCATGCATGCACGGCTGAGCTAGCTGAGCTGAGTGAATTAATCGCAGTGAGTGCAGTACGTGCGATGAAGAAAGTGGAATGTTGATGAAATGTTGCTGGTGCCTGGCAGATAATGCTTTATCATCATTGCATGACCCAATGGAAAAGACATTGCCAAACATTTTTAGTATTTATCACTCGTGCTTATTTTACTAATAAAAAAAAAAAAAAATTCTGCATTCTTGTCTTTCAATTGGTTCTTGGTTGGTTGGTCGGTCCTCCAAAATACTCGTCAGAGTTTTTAACTGGAGGCCGGTGTGGGTAGGGAATGAAAAGTTGCATACAAAATCACTGAAAATGGACAGAAACTTAAGTTAGTCGAAGTCTTAACCATTACATGTATAAATATACCCAGATGTTGTGAGTCTGACGTCTGGGCTGCGTCTCACGAAACCATCATAAGTACAAGTTCGGCGACACCCCATTGACATGCGTGTACTAAGTTTAACACGCGCTTCAATGGGATGTCGCTGAACTTGTACTTAGACTCTATGATGGTTTTATGAAACGCTGCCCTGGTCCCCCTGACAAATTGTGTATCCAGAGACCAGACAGTTGAATTAAAATGGTAGATTTGAAGATTCCAAACACAGCACTTACAATTAAGCTGTAATTGCTTCCTTTGTAACCCAGGGCCATACATCCACTAGATTCTACTGGTGGGCAGCCAGGAATGGGGGTGGGTCTGGCACTTTCCCTAACCTAGAATTTAACTAGTTTTCAAAAGAAGTAGACATGATAGTCAATGTGCCAAGCAAACATTGATTTTTTCAAACATTTGATGCATTAAAATGCAACATTTATGGAGAAAAGGTACTGAAATTAAAAATTGATGTGAGATCTTTTTCTTTGATAGTGCTAGATAGCATCAAATAAATTGTTGTGACGAAAAAGATCTTTATAACTTAAGCTTTGTTCAAAATTAAAAGAAGCAGATTTTATGCATGTCCCCATTACCGGAAAACCTGCATTCAAAGGCTCTGTAATTCCATCGCAACTTCTAAATTTATGTTCAAGAATGCAAAATCTACATGTACAGACTACAGTGTAGTTTCTTGTTTCGCTCAAGAGTGTATACAGAATCTTAATTTTCCTTAAAAGTCAATATATCAAACACTTTTAATTACATTTCATGTTACAAACATGAAATTCTATCTGCACTACATGTATTTTAGCCAGGAGGGATTAGACCTCCCTGCATAGTCACTGACAGGTGGTTATCTCATCAAATCAGCTCTCAATTAACACAAGTAAAAGAGGATCATGGGGGACCAACGGATACCGCACTTAGGCATTGCCGAATAGAGGGCGCAAGTAGCTTGAAGTATTGCAGTCCCGCTTTCAGGTTTGCGTTTCGACTTATAGTTTACTATTTTGTATCTTTGTTCAGCTGGAGCATGGTTGGTTGCTCATAGGACAGAACAAATCCGACACTTAACCCATCAACCCACTGCAGAACCTAAGACATACGCACAGCTCAAGTATGAGCGCAAGCAGAAGGAGAAAGAAGAAAGAAGAGCAAACAGGGACGGAATCAAACAAGATGAAGAAGAGGAGAGCACAACTCCTGGAGTTTTGGATGGATTCTTTTTGGTGAGATTTTACTCATTTACTCAAACAAACTTTTGTTGATCGAAACTGTAGATAATGTGAGCGATATACTCACATCTCTATGTTAAAGGTTGAATGTATTTGGAATACGTTGGCAAATTGTGGGTCCTTACAATATCTTTGAAAGTATTTAAGTTTTGTTAATAGAAGGATTTTGTGAAAAATATGAGATGATGATAGAATGGACAAATCATTCATTTAGGAAAATCATTGGATACTCATGTGTCTTAAATTGCCTCAGATTCTAAAACAAAATCCTGGATTTAGCTCATGCTGCAATCATAATTATAAACCTTTAGGTCAGTCAGAAATCCCATGACTTTTACAAGCCGATCGCCTGTCTGATTATCAAGATATTTTTGATTGGAAATCGAAATTTCATTTTTCGTTTTCCTAACAGATTTTATAACACTAAAGTCTATAGGGATTCAGGGAAAAATGAGTACCTTTAATGGAAAAACCGGTCACTCAAAGATGTTTACTTATTTGAGGCACTTCATGATCATTTTAAGGCGCAATTTGTTTTTGGCTTCAATATTACATCATATCACAGACACTGATAACATAGGGCCATGCATCTCAGATTTAACAATGCCTTTGAGTAAAAAAGTTGAAGGAGTGGAAATGAAACAAAAATATTGAACAATTGGTAAATTAATATGGGTATTGACTTGACGGAGAAATTTACTTTGTTGAAACAGTATACCGGTATTGGTAATAGTGTAGCATTTTTCTCTTTTTTTTCATGCAATTATTTGCCAAATCAAATCATAATAATCCATGATATTGCAGTAATATTCAATAGTGCAATTTCAATACTAATCTTACTTAAATTATCAATCTTCCCCCCCCCCCCTCTCTCTCTCTCTCTCCCTTCCTCCCCTTTTCCTCACTGTCCCTTCCTCCCTACCCCTCTCTCCCTCCCTCCCTCCCCCTCTCCCCCTTTCTATTTCTGTCCCATACCATCTTCATATCTGTACATGTAGCTGACACACTGTTGCGTTGAAGACCCAACCGATCTGTGCTCCATCAATATATCTGGACAGGATTTGACTGAGGTCAAGCAAGAAGATTTTGAACTCTTCATTAATGTTGCGTACGTCAATGCTGGTGAAAACCTGCTACCATTTGGTAAGTTGAATCTTAATCCATCCTTAAATATTGAATCAGGAGGAAACAAATATATCCTGTGCACAAATGTACATGCATGTACTCTCTAACAATAATAAGGATAATGCCTTTACAAAAAAATTGTAAATTGAAAGTGAGTTTTGATGTGTCAAGCTTTAAGAAGTAATAATATGAAAAATAAAACCTCTTAAGGAGGCGTGATGGCTCAGTGGTAGAGCAGTGGTCTCCTAACCGGGAGGTCCAGGGTTCAAAACCAATTTGATGCACTAGTGCCCTTCGGTAAGGCATTAACCCTTGCTACCAAGTCCTTCAGGGGGGATTTAAAGCTGTTGGTCCCCTGGTTGCTTACCTATAAGCATACACATGATTTCTTAGTAGTCATGCAAGTAAAACAAACCAACCAGCCAACCAATGTTGAATGATGCCATGTCATATCATTGACCTGTTTTATAGAAATTCCTGTTCGAGTGATCAAGAAGATTGTGAAATGGAGATTTGATTTTCTTTCTCAAAATAGAAGTTCATTTGAAATGAAAGAAAGAAACTGCATGCAGTTACTATTTATTACATTAACATAGTTTATACATCCTTTACTTATTTTCTGTGATGGTTTGAAATATGTTTGAAATGTAGTTTTAAAATGAATTGCTCTAAATGAAACAAGGTTGTGTTTGAAATGTACAGATTGTAATTGGCAAAAAACGGGAAGCAACTCTTATAAAATGCTAACATTATCAAATATTGAAATTCAATTTCTCTTTATCTCTGTTTTGATTGTTCACAGATGCCTTCAACCATTTCCCAATCATACGTGAGCTAGAGCTACCTCTCAATGGCTTGAGAGGTATTCATTTAGACTACAACCATTTCCCTTATCTGGAGGTAAGTTTGATATTCTCACTCAAGAGATCTTGTCTAAATGTAGATAAAGTAAATTGAAAGTCGCTCTACCCTTGCGATAATTTGGTTTGAATAAATCCAAAATAAATTAGAGATGCATGCATGCTTGAGTCACTGTTAGAGGAGAAAGTGCATGGTGCAACGTTGTTCTAAATATCAATTCTTTATTTCAAATCAAGGAACTTTTGTCTCTTACTGGACGCCTAACATAGGTCATGCTTCTTACACCATGATAACATGATTCACATGTGTGTAGAGAAATATGAGCTTTGAAGTATGGAAGATCTCTATGCATCATAAGCTACTGTGTGATTTCCTTTGTGAGAGGCTACAGGTATTCATTTGTTTTGGGTGGAAAATTTTCAAACATGTCCATGAAATTACTCAAGTTTTGATAAAGGATTGGATTTGTTTCATATGTGGGGAACAAATGTTTTTGCATACATTGTGGGCATGTGTTAACAGAGAGAGAGAGAGAGAGAGAGAGAGAGAAGAGAGAAAGAAAGAGAGAGAGAGGGGAAGAGAGAGAAAGAGAAAGAGAGAAAGAGAGAGAAAATGGTTGTTCAGGAAAGTTTCATTTGGTCCGAATGACATGGGCTTGTGGTCTATGCACTGAATTAGCACAAAGAGCTAGCCAATGTTACCCCATTTTCAATTTGATCGGTTATCAGCTAGCCCAGTTGAGTGAATGTAGGGCAGTTTTGCCGCCTAGCTTTTCCATTCATTGATCTAGTAACTAATTGTCATGCTTGAATTGTTTGCTTCATTGGTTCGAATGAAAGCATTTTTGGTTGGGCTGTATTGATTTCTATCAAATATAGAATAGAATTATCGATAGTATCAAATATCAGAACAGTATAATATTCTCTCGTATTCAATACAGAGCTTTAATGTGTAGTCCACTTGAGATACTTTTTGAAGGATATTGAAGAATAAACCACAAGAATTGTCGTTTTCTCAGTCTTTGTGGTATTCAAATATTCACAAGGCTTGAATGTGCAAGTCTCTACTTGTGATGTTCTCAATATGTGTAGTTTCTATGGGATTAAGAAATACTACAGGTTGCCAACAAATATTGCCTATTGATTGCTCTGTTATGAATTTCCCGCCATTTACGTCTGCTATTTCATTGTCACAAGTCAATAAGTTTTATGGCTTGCACTTGTTGCTATTTTCAGCATTCGATATTTGAAAAGATACATGTACTAATTGAATTTTTTATTTTTTGTGTCTCACAATATATCCTTTTGTATGATCTTTATAAAATGGTAGTATTGTGATACCATTATTCAATGTTGTGCTTGACAACAAGAAGACGCTTACTGCATAGCAACTCTGAAAATGCTTCCCGGCCATCAAAGGCTGTAAAGGCTACCTCCCCCACAAAGGTATAAAATCCAAAATAACATTGCAAATAAGAGATCTGTACAAGAATGTAAAATCATGAAGGAAATCTCCCAAAATATAAAATTTAGAACAAGTATCTTGTCCCTGTGCACTAGCTCTATAGAGACATGTTTGAATGTTTCCATTGCTGTTTGCAAGTAGCCATTGTTAGTTGTTGAATCCATTGTCAAGGGTACAGCGTCCCTTCTCTCTAGGGGGTATTGCGCGCCATTTCGAGCCTCCTTTGTGCCCTTGTCTCCAGGGGACCAATCCAACCCTCCTAGCTCCCCTACCAAGTACAGACTACACACCTGAGTACACCTACAACTATTGTGTGCTTTATGCCTCATGAATAGGGGTCTAGGAAGGGGTTTTCCATTGCTATTGTTTTTTATGATGATCTTCTTACTTTATGAATTTCATATTCATTCCCTCTCCCCCACCAAGGTGGTGTAGGTGTATAAGTAAAGCATCCCACCCAACATTAGAAATCTGAAGTAGCTCTTTGCAAAGCATACTCTTCTATATAAGATGTGGAAGAGAGGAAGGTGTACCTACTTCACTCTTTCATCTAACTTGTTGGATAGCTGATAATCAATTACCTTGATGGTTCTCATCGGAAAAGGACATAACATCTGGTGTGATCCAACTTCATGTGCTTGAAAACGTTATAGGTTTGTTATCCGGCTTGCATATTGAGATCTTGAATTGTTCTTCAATTCTTAATATGAGATCATATTAGAAAGAATTTGTGGTACAACAGATTTAATTAAGTCTTGATGTCTGTCTGAATTGTGTGAACACCAATGCTATATTAAAGATTGGTCATCTTTTTTTCTTTTGATTGTAGGCCTGGAAGCATCCAGGGGATGTTCTGATTTATCCCAGGGACTTGGTATTGATGATGATGAATGCCTTTCCAAAGGGTACATTGTCATTGTTTCATACCTGGAACCTCAAGGTTACAAGACTGCTCTACCACTGAGCAATCTTGCCGCCTCATTCTTTCATTATTTGGTGCTGTTTATCCTGATAGCTCAGTTGGTAGAGCAGTGATCTCGTAATCCGGTGATCTGGGTTCAAAACCAAGGCGATGCGCTAGTGCCCTTTGGTAAGGTATTGATCCTCATTACCAGGTCCCTCGGAGAGGACCTAAAGCCTTCGGCCGTCTGGTTGCTTACTTACAAGCATTTATGCTTTTTTAGCAGTCAGGTAAAATAACCACCACCACCATTCCATTTTCTGTTCCCATTCTTTTGACTGTCTGTCTAGGTATTGGATCTATCACACAACAATCTGTCTAAGGATGATGTGGGTAATCTTGGTCTGCTCACCAGCCTCAAGGTGCTGTACCTCACAGGAAACCAGCTTCGATCATTACCTCCTGAGATGGGCAAACCGTTCAAAATACAAATAAGGTAAGAGCTCTAGCTTCCAGGCTGTTAACCAGGCCTGATAATTACCCAATTTAAATCGGTTTCCCGATTTTTTTTCTTCCAAGATTTTTTTTTAAAAACAATTTTTTACTGATTTTTTTTCTTCCTGATTTTTTTTTTTCTTTCTTCCTGATTTTTACTGATTTTTTCCCAATTTTTAAAAAATATTTCTTACTCAAAAGGAGGAATGTTGTTAAATGCAATTTGTTTATTCCCCAATCCTTTTTTTTTTTTTTAACCAAAGGTTGAGTGATCTATCTTTTTATCCATGCTGGTACCTATGTGGGGAGAATTACCAAACCTGTTATTCTCTGCAAAGAAGATATCTACAGTCAGTATGTGTGTAAATGACTGCTGTATAACTAACTAAATAATTGTGTAAATTACTGGCTTGTCACTTAAAAGTATTTCTACTAGCTCCACTTAATATACCACCTCAAAAATGCATTCTATGGAAAAAAAGACTTCTTTGTAGTAACATTTTGGGTAAAAACATGTGGGTGGGACGTATCAGGAAAGGTCTGCTTGGTACATGAAGGCTTCTCATGCAAGGAGCTTTGCGGAAGCTGTACGTCCTGTATAGCACCGAGGACTCCCTCACTTCAACCATCTCAATGGTGACCTAGCTAGCTTAGAATGGACAGTGGGACAGCTAGTGTCTTCCATGCTCTCATGGTACACCAGCAAGGGCTGGTTTCTCCAGTAATTTGTATCTTCATCATAGCATCAATTACTGTTGATGTCAGCCCCTTGCTGGTATACTGCCCTCTACAATCCTGATGTGGCCAAGCTGAATGTGAGAGAACAGAAGAGTTGAACTACAGAGAATAATCTACATCAGCCATCATTAATTTTATTTTACTTCAAGCATACTTTATTTTAGCTCTATATTTTCATTTGTGCAATTGATTTAAAATGTGTTTACAGTAAGGGTTGTGTATGCTATTCATTTAGGGTATATATTATTTTAATGTTTACATCTTAATATTTTCCTTGTTTTTCTCCCATTATAAAATAACTTTTCCAGTTGCCAGAATAGAGGATTTTAGAAGTTGATAATATTGTTCCTGCTATTTAGAATCAACTCATGTTCAAATTCAAAATGTCCATCTCACTTTCTGTTTGACTCTCTCTCTCTCTCTCTCTCTCTCTTTCTCCCACTTGGAGTCTCCCTCCCTCCCTCTCCCCCTCTCATCTTCACTGCCTGTATACATCTCTCTATGTATTTGTATCCCTGTATATATACCTCCTGTGTATCCTTTGTTTAATAACAAAATTTTAACATTTTCTTTTTCAGTGAGTCTGAGTCCAGTCGAATGCCAAGGTTCTCTAAGCTAGAGATCCTGAACCTAGATGACAATGCCTTACATGATCTTGCCATATTCACCAGTCTAGCTGGACTTAGAAAGTGAGTAGGAATATTTTATCAAGTACCTCATATCAAGTACATGTCATATTTCATGAGGATACTTTTAGATTTTGTATGGAAATATATGTGCTCTTATAAAGTTCTTATTATTATAGCAATATAACTAACACAAATTATTCAGATAGTTATATGTTATGTAACAAACGTATTATGTAAAGGGAACCTTAATTACAAGCATAATGCTTCCAAGGTTTCCTCCTCATTACTGCAGATTATTGTTAGCATTATTTGTATTTAATGACTTGCCATTAAATTGTTTTTTTTTACTGTTGTATCTATCGAATATTATGTACATGTTTTGTTACCTTGTATATGCCTTACTTTGTAAATTCTTTTCATATGCAGTTAATGTGGAAATAAAACCCAAATAAAAAGATAAATAGTAATACTTCAGCAGATATGAATATATTCCTAATGTGTGCTCTCTCTCTCTCTCTCTCTCTCTCTCCCCCCCCCCCTCTCTATTAGGCTGCGACAACTCAACCTTGATAAGAATGAGATTGTGTCTGTGCCGTATCTAAAAGCTTTGAGTGGTCGTCTAGTGGCTGTAGACAGTACATCAGACTCCACTCTACGCAAGGGGCGACCCCGGTCCGGAAAGGGAAAGAAGAAGAGTGGGGGTAGCAAGGAGCTAGACCAGGAGGAGAGGAGTGAGGGGACCACACCAAAGGGCAGTCCACGGGGCACCCCACAGGACAGTGAGCTAGGTACAATCTTTTATTTCTCTTTTTATAGGATGTATTTGGGGTTTGATTAGTTGTCATTCTAACATTAATACAAAGTATGTAACTACTCATATCTAAGCATCAAAGAGACTTTGATACAGCTTGAGTGAACTCTCAATTGTGTCATCATTGTATTTGGCAAAGATATGAGAAACATGATTATGATGATGATTATGATTATAATTATGATTATAATGTTGATGATGGTGATGATGATGATGATGTTGGTGACAATGACGATGATGATGATGATGGTGATAATGATTATGATGATTATAGTTATTATATCCCAATCCAATCCAATATTATTGAAATAATGGGTTTATAACAATGATAATGATAACAATGATGAAGAAAGAGATGATAATTCTAATTGTATTATCCATCTTTGATTTTTATAGAAAAAGGTGCTGCCTCTGAGATGTCCAACCTTCTTGATGACATTGAGGAGGAGGGTGATCTCTTCGATGCTTCTCATGTCTTAGACGGCGAGATGAACAAACTTCTTCCACCGTTCCCTGAGCTTACATCTCTCAGTCTGGCTTATAATAAGGTAGGATGGCATGGTCAGTGATAATGGTGATACTGGTGATGGAGGTCTTGGTAGTGGTGATACTGGTGATGGAGGTCATGGTAGTGGTGATAATGATGAGAATGACATTGATGATGATGATGATGATGGTGGTTGGGATTGTTATGATGATGGTTGTGAGGATGTCGTGGACAAGTGTCGTGGCCGAGTGGATATGTCACCGGACGGTGGATCACAAGGTCTGCGGCACTTATGTCCTTTGGCAAGACATTGATCTACATTTGCCACTCTCCACCCAGGTGTTAAATGGGTACCCGTTAGGATGTGAAAGCTGATGTGCTTGATGAGCAAGTGTGCGCTTGTAAAAATGACGCCTGGCTGGAATGCTCCCTAGGGAGTGGAGAATGTGCATACATTGTGTGCGGGTAAGCCTGAATCTGTTGACCGGGGTAATAATATATATATCTGTAAATCTCTTTGAGAGGGCCTTCAGTCCTGAAAAGCGCTATATAAGAACTAGCTATTATTATTATTATAATGTTGAAAACTGAGATCTAAAGATAGTGATCATTGAGATGATGATGTTTTAATGTTATGTTTAGCTGGTATTGAGTATCTATAGATAGACCATCTTTTCCTTTGCTTGTAGATATCTGAGGAGGAGGGACTTCTAGGAGTAGCAGGCTGGCCCATGCTTCAGGAGCTAATCATCCATAACAACCCCCTCACCACCCGTAACAGCGGTGACCCTCCTCTTCTCAAGCGGTACCTAACCAGTAGGCTTGGTATCCGTATGGTCAGGAAGAAGCCCAGCATGGTACCCAAGCCACCGGTTGTGGTACCAAACAAACCCCATAGAAAGGTGAGTCTGGAAGTGGTGGTGGTTATTTTACCTAGCTGCTAAGAAAGTATAAAGCTTGTTAGTAAGCTTCAGGTCCTCTCCGAGGGACCTGATAGTAAGCAAATAACTACCGTTGGTGAAGGTGATGGGACAACTTATCACCTCCGAGGCGATCTGGATGTAGCTATCTTTCCGAAGCGAAGCTGAGGAAAGATAGCGTATATACATCCTGATCGACGAGGAAGTGATAGTTTGCCATCGCCTGAAACCAAAAGGTGATTATTTGCTTTATATTCCACATCTAAAACAATTTAACTACAAAAAGAAAAGGATGTGTATGCATCTACATAAAGGACACCATGCCCAAATTCACACCAAAAAAGTTTAACAGTTTAACCCAACCCCTTGAGGGTAGGGTGCGCGCATGTTTTTGGTTTAATTGCGCTCATTGGTAATGCACGCTTAATTACGCCTGTTTTGGTGGGCTTTTGGATAATCTTCAGTGATAGTGCGTTGCCCTGTGTAGATAGTACCTCTATCTTCAGTGAAAGTGCATTGCACTGTGTAGATAATAGTACTATCTACACAGTGTAACAAACTTTTTGCTTCTCTCATAAATAATGGGCGAACTATCTTTTATCACGTGATTTACTTTTGACCAATCGTAGAGCAAGATTCTTAGTATGTGAAATATAATGAGGATTAATGCCTTACCATAGGGCGCTAGTGCATCGACTTGGTTTTGAATCCGGTTCACACTGCTCTACCAACTGAGCTATCGCGCCTCCTCTTCAAGATGATCGGATAATTCTTTCGGGGACATGTGGACTGGCTTTATTTTCTTGAAAATAGGGTTAGGGTAGGGTTATTGAGCAAGGCCAAGGTATATGGTCATTTAGTGTCACGTAAGGCACCAAGTCTAATGGTATTATGAACATGTATTAACTACAGAAGAATAGTGTCACTTGTCAATAATGCCAAGTTCTAGTAGGGCTTGCAAATTAATACAAGCATCAATTGTTCTAAAATTTTAGATGTTAGTATCAATGTATGAACAAAATAGCTTGGATTTTCCTTGTTGTATTGTTATTGATTTGTTGTTATTTCTGTGTTGATGCAGGTAGCAGAAATAGTTCCACCCATTCCCAAGAAACCACTGCAGCTGATGCTTGAAGGTCCTACCCTAGACTCCAGACCAGCCCTTCCATCCACATCCCAAACCCCTCCACCAAAACAATCAAAACACCCCTCCAGGGAGGAATCGACTCGTCCATCCTCACAGCCTCTACCACCCATACAGAACAACCAAGATGGGACCGATCCATTGCCTGATAGGGAGGATCAAGAGGAGCGGATGGAGAGGACTAAGACATGGACTGAGGAGAGCTTTGGTGAATCAGATGTTGAAGATGAGTCCAGACCTGAGCCCAAGGCCAAGCCCAAAGACAAGACTGCTGATGAACCTGTATTCCTAACACAGGTAAATATCTTTTAGGGTAGAAGAAGTTGAAAGTTCTTATTGCATATTATGCATACCTGCCAAACCTTACGAAACATTTGGAATATTCTGTTTTTCTGGATTTCTAGGACCTGAAAATCCGGAATATTCTGATTTTTCAAAATTCTGATTTTACTTGTAGGTCTGGTCGTTGGTGAATGGTTTTGTTGCCATCAGGGTGATTTCATTCATGATATGCTAGAGGATTGGTCTAGAATTGTACAGTCACAGGAGAAGTGAAAGATTGTGACCTATAAATGGCTCACCATTTACTATCCTATGCAGTACGTTACAAGAGACTTTAATATAAATCGTGAATTGAATCAGACAGCTATTTTTGCCTTGATATTGCACATATTTATCTATTTACAGACTGCATCAATTTGTAGTTGGGTATTTGGCATTGAGCAGCTTTCATGTGTAGTCATCCATGCTGTCATCCTGAACAATTATAAGAAAAGTTTCTTTGTGGATAGGTAGCTTGTTTAGGTGACCAGTAAAGTAGATTTGACCATAACTTCAGCTCTAATTTATGAATACAATTTCTGTAGTTCTTACAATTTTCCTTCCTTGATGTTCTCCCTAGGTGGATGAACACCCCGAGGACGAGACCCCAAAACAAGAGAAACATGCACCAAAGCCCCCCTCTCAGGCCCCTAGACCCCCAGGCAAACCCAAGACCCGGAAACACAGGGTGGACAGCGCCGTATACTCCATCAACGTCCCTCAGAAGTTCAAAGGTTACGAGATGTTCTATGATGCACCGGATGATCCGGAGGTGTATACTGCCCCTGATATCCAGAGCAACCTGAGGTCACTGCGCCTTGCATTGAAGCATTCTACCGTTTATGGAGAGAACAAGGTGGATCTACAGAGGCTACAGAAGCCATTCAAACCATATCAAAAGGTAAGGGCTGGAGGATTTTTACGTCATAAATGGTTGATGAGACATTTGCTCCAAAAAAGCATTGGCTCATAAGTTTATTTTAAAGTTGCATTCAGGTTTTAGGGTCGGGTTTAGGAAAGTATGCGTATTGTAGTGTTAAATTCAGAGATGAAAGAATTGACAGTAGAACTGGAGACTTTGCCTCAGTATTGATAATTGGGATCCTGGCATAGAAATTCCAACTACTACAGGACCAACTACCCCAAATAAGAGGTTATTTTAAGATCAAGTACTATAAGAATTACTGTAAGTCCAGTTCAGTGAAAGAGCATGAAAGACAGAATTGTTTATTTTGTTAAAGCTCAGAGTTAACTTTTTTGTAAACCAGACTTAATACACTATCTATTGTCACAAGTCACTTTCCTTGCAGTTGGAAAGTAATTCATTTATGTGATATATATGACATTGTTTGTGCAGTATAGAAATGAATACTATCAGTATCCTCGTGACTGTTATTCTGACTTGTTTTTTCTTTCAGAGCAAAGTTGCTGAGAAGCCTGCACACCCGACCAAAGCAGAGAAGCTGAGTGATATCCTGGAGGTGATGAAGAGTAGAGAGACGTATGTAGAGCAGAACCTTGGTGAGATCCTAGCCGATAGAGACAAGATGAAAGACTTCCCTCAGGTCACTAGACTTCTTCAAGAGGTAAAATAAATCTGCATTATAATTCTTACTTTTCTTTAAAGGCCCACTGCACTACTTGTAGTTACTTGCGCCCTCTATATAACAAACAATGACTAATCGGTGACCATTTATCCCCCATGATCCTCTTTTTCTTATGTTAACTGAGAGCTGAGTTGATGGGATAACCACCTGTCCAGTGACTTTGCAGGGCGGTCTAATCCCTCCTGTAAACTAGTACAGATAAGCTTTAAAGAGAGGGTCGAGTTCTGGAAAGAGGTGCACAAAAATTTGTGAGCGTTATCATTGTATTGTGCAATTGTGGAAGAACATCAGATAAAAAATGTTCCCTGAAAAGCATAGCTCTTCAAATGCCTTAATATATTAAATATGGCATGTAACATCATAACAATCAGGACGGATTTTTATGCCACATGTTTGTGTAGTCTCATATACATCTTTCTGTGTACAGTGCTTGTAACTTTACCAAGACTGCATGGGCTAAATTTCTTATCATTTTGATGATTCCAGAACCTTGCAGTACATGCCAACACTTAAATGCTAGATGATCAACCTTTTCTGATCGATTCCACAACGTTTCTTTCACAGTGCAATCGCATGGCCAGAACTCTACTTTTTCTTTAAGTTTCTCTGTCTATAGTTACTGAAAAAACAACTTGCATTACATTTACTTCAAAGAAACTATAGAACACCATGGTTAAAGATATATATATATATATGGGTGTACTTTATGGGTCATTAATTCCTGAGTTGTAATGGCTGCTAAATACCAGAGTTCTCTAGCTTTTGATTTAAGAATTTGCTTGTAATCATTCAAATGCTATGATTTTAGTAGCTCATATCAATGATTGTAAGTTGGTACTGGTGTAAGTTTCCTGAAGCAGGCCTACATGTTTTCTCACTTCTATTTGAAAGGGTTTTTAAATAAGAAGGATTTCGTCATGTAATGATAAGTGGTATCTATTTTGAGTGAAGTGCATTCATTAATTTTATTTTGTTTCCCTTTACAGATTCAGAACAAATACAGCGCAGTGCGCAATGCATCCATGAAGGATAAACAGGAAGAGGATGAACAGATAGACCTGATGATACAGGACCTGGAACAACTTGAAACGACTATGAAGTCAGCCCAGTCCTCTAGACAACCGTCTAGGGAGGTGGTTGCAGAATAGATCCGTTCTTAGTCCAACCTGTATAGAGTACCGAAGCTGTGACATCATGACAATTTATTTCTAGAACTTCTCAATTTTTTCTTCATTTTCCGAAAGAGCATCAAAAACAATGTCTAAATGTTGAAAACAAATTGAATATCTTAAGTATTGACTGAGATATGACCATCTGATTAAAAAGATTGCCTATGACTGAAAATGAAGCAAATAACACTGAGCTCCTATGGGGAGTATATTTATTCAGATGGTCATATCTCAGCCAATACTTAACATATTCAATTGGTCTTCGACGTTCGGACATTATTTTTTATGCTCTTTCGGAAAATGAAGAACAAATTGAGAAATTCTAAAAATAGATTTTTGATGACGTCACACTTCACCACTCTATAACAGGCTTTAGCCCACCCTAGAGATCAGTTCATAATCCTGCCTTTAGGATGGTTCATAATCAAACATGTAAAACAGGTCTTCGTTCCAAGTATAGAATAGTTCTTTTTCCAAATTAGAGAACAGTTCCTAGTCCATCCTGCAGAACAGTGTTTAGCCTATTATTTAGAACTGTTCTGAAGCCTACTTGTAGGACGGTTCTTATAGTCCAATGTTTGATGCAGTTCTCGGTTTGAATAGTTTCTCATCTTCCTAAGCAGTTCTTAGTCTAATCCATAGAATGGGTCTTGGTCCTACCTGTGAAAGCAGATTGTGATGTACCATTTGTGCTTTCTGAACACTACTTCACCTTGATTGTACTATTGTAATAGATGACCAATATTTCTAATTTTATACATGTGTAAAGCTCATTATCAAACTTTGTTTTTGTATAATTTAGTTTGAATTGTAAGTGTAAGTTTGTGATCTCAACCATTGTTATATTTGCAAAGTTCAACTTCAAAGTGTGTAAGTGCTCTCTGCTGTGAAGACAATTAATTGATGAGAAATTACAAATTCTAAATATTTTGTTAATTATTATATGGAATGCATATTGAAAGTCTATGCTCTGCAGATTCATATCATCTTGCAAAATTCCCTGAAAAACCTTCGAGTTAGGTACTCTGTACTTCAATGCTTTCCAGAAAAATTGGGTGGTTCTGAGCAGATTATGAATTCACAAGGGATATACAATTCCTGGCATACTACTTTTAGAAGCTGATTGCTAAGTCTTTCTCCTGAGAACCACAGGGCCATTAACTCATATAATAATAATAATAATAGCTAGTTCTTATATAGCGCTTTTCAAGACCGAAGGCCCTCTCAAAGCGCTTTACAGATATATATATTATTACCCCGGTCATAGGATTCAGGCTTACCCGCACACAATGTATGCACATTCTCCACTCCCTGGGGAGCATTCCAGCCAGGCGTCTTTTTTACGAGCGCACACTTGCTAATCTAACCACATTAGCTTTCGCATCCTACCGGGTACCCATTTAACACCTGGGTGGAGAGTGGCAAATGTAGATCAATGTCTTGCCAAAGGACATTAGTGCCGCGGTGGGACTTGAACCGCGAACCTTATGATCCACAGTCCGGTGACATATCCACTCGTCCACGACACCTCTACAATATTTGGTTATTCTGTTGATAACATTTTGCACAAGATTTGAGTTGATAGGAGTTTTAGCCTAGTATTTAGCTCTAAAATAGCTGATTTAAAACCCTTGTGATACAAGATAAATGACAAAATCTTGACTGTCAATTCTGAGTTCTGAACGGGGAAGTATATTTAGATATTAAATATCCATCATCCAAGAGAAAAGATGAAGATATCTGTTCAGTGTTTCAATACTGCCATATACCACACCGAGTAAAGGCCTTTCTGGTTTGTGTTAGATTATGATCATCTACTTTAATACAGCATGCATTTATCAGTGCACCTTATACATGTGTGTGATTTGTTATCTATGAAAGAGAATAATGAATAACGGGTCAGTTTTGTGGTAGAAGCCGTCCAAAATGTACCATGTACTTATTAAGAAGAGTAGAACATTATTCATAATTTGTGCTATCGCTATTTAGAAGAAAAAAAATTGTTGTCTGCATATCATTGTGTTTCATGTACTTCTAGTAATATCTATATCTAGATAGAAACCTTAAGCTATACATCATTCAGTGTATTGACTGATAGTACTTTGGCAGCACTGTATAGGCTAATGTGCATGTGCAAGTATATTACTACTGGCTGATCGTGTATTATACATGGATGTGTACGAATGGAGTAGATCACTTAGGTATGCTGGGGCCTGATTATTGAGACACTTGTAAGTGAGAGTTCAGGTCTTATTACCAACACGAAGATCAGTGATGAGAGGGGAGAGGGGAGACATGGACAAATTTAGGTTTACAATGAATGAACCGTGCTGCTTTATTTTGTATCATATATGCTTGAGTGTAAAAACTAAAGTTGAATCGCAACCACATTGTATGTAGAAGGATGAATACTGGGAGAGCACGAGCTGTCCAGTTATATTTTGAATTACTTTACGTTAACTGACAAAAGCCTTCTGATCAACTTACACTATGAAGAGAATAATATATTTGGTATTTGCCTCTATGCAACGAGTTGTAAATATGTGTAGATAGATAATACTGTGCTGTGTAGAAATCACAGTAGTCTAGTGCCTATATATTTGACAAGTTTACAGTAATGTGTGAACAGTGGATATGTGCGATATATTATATATGTAAATAAAACTTCCTTGAGAACTTATCAAATATGTCTTGGTCTGACGGGTTTACATCGGTTATGTGTTTGAACGAGTGTGCGACTTGATTTTTGCATAGAGTATGTTTTAATGATATAAATATCAACTGTGTGATAGCTTTTCATCAGACTTCGGATCAAATCATACTTCTGTTTTGGTGGTTTCATCAACTTGAATCATATTGTAATGACATTAACAGTAGCCATAACAGCTACTACCAGCAGCTAAAACATGTCACTTTATACCAGTAGCCACATCAGAATCAACCCATTCACTACTGTATACTCTCATTCCCATAGGCTTTAATACAGGCCCCACTCAGTTCCAGGAGGCAATTGGATATTAAATTTAGATACTCTTCTCCCTGCTATCCTACTATAGAGTGGTGAAGTGTGACGTCATCAAAAGTCTATTTTGAGAATTTCTCAATTTTTTCTTCATTTTCCGAAAGAGCATCAAAAATAATGTCCAAATGTCGAAAACCAATTGAATATGTTGAGTATTGTCTGAGATATGACCATCTGAATGAATATATTTCCTATAGTAACTCGGTGTTATATGCTCTGGCTCCTAATCATTAGGAGCCAGAGCAAAAATAGCACTAGCTGATGTTCCTTCGATGCGAATAGTTTGAGCTTGATCCTCGAGTGTCATTGTATAATTGTATAATATGTCATTAAATTCAAGATTTTTATTAAAATGTCCAAGGTATTCTTTAGCAAAAATTGTCGGTCCTTGATAGCATGAAATAATAGAGCAATCTTTCAATACACTTTCACACAACACAAAGACAAGAGACGCAAAGACAGGTAGTACTTTCATCGTCAGTTCTTCATTTGTACATAACCATTTTGACAAAAAATAATTACAATGGTTTTCTTTCAACTACGTTTTGATTTGTATGAAAACAAGACAGAAGAAAGAAAACAGAATCATCGAGCAAAGCAAAAAACAAATACTGATTTAAAAAAAAGAGAAATTTTGTTTCTTTCTATAATATTACAAAGTCAAGATGACAGGTATTAGTCACACTAAGTAAATATAAATGGTTGTCTATTGGTTGATATTTGGCATAAACTACACCAGGAAAAGTATCATGAGCAAAACATTTGTTCCATTTTCTTCTAGGTTAATATAAACTTTTGCTCTTTTTAAATCCCATTATGAAATTTGGGGTTCCACCTCCACATGTTCATATTGTATCAGAAGTTCCAAGATTTGTTTAACCCTGGGCTAAATATCTATGGTATAACATGAAAGGGTGTCAACTTAAAAGAAAAGAGAGCACAGTATTAGGTCCCCATGCTAACCATGTCACCCTTTGATACACACAGACTGAGGACAGTCCAATGTCTATTGAAAGCCAGAAGGGTGTTACAGCAACTCATGTCCTCACACTGATTCAGAGCTGCCAACCTCCAGAACAGAAAATCAGTAATCACAAGGCTCAAAATCAGTAATTTGGGGTATAAATCAGTAATTTCTTATGCGGCGCTATGAATCTAAAAAAACGGCACGCCAACACTGCGCGGACGCATGATTATCTGAAATTTTTGGTGATTTTACTCACACAAAGATGTTAAATATTGAATTTCAGGTCATCACAACACAGTTTATCATGAAACATGGCTTCTATTCACAGCACTCGCTACGATAAATCATATTTAATTTATTTATTTTTTTAAATTATAAAAAAAAAAAAAAAAAAAAAAAAATTAAATCCGTAATTTGAGACAACATTCCGTAATGGTCGTTAATTTCCGTACCAATTACGGGAAATCCGTACTAGTTGGCAGCTCTGCTGATTACCAAACACCCTCTTGGCTTCGAGCCAACATTATTTTTTAAATATTTTGAGCCAAAAATATTTCTTGTTTGAATTTTGAGCAGACAATATCATGGATTATAAACTCATTTTCCTAGGGAGCATTTATGAAATGCATTCAAAAAGAAACCTAACTCTTTATATACGTTTATAAAGTACAATCACGATCTTTGTAATTGTACTCGAATGTATTAGACCTGTACTGTTCATTGTGTGACAGAATTTGCATGATTACCTTCTCAATTTCATAGCAAGTTCAACTAAAGTCCATTAGGAGAGGCGTCATCCACAAGAAGGATCATATTCGTTTCACATCCACATCTAAACTGCAAATAAAAATTCTCTCTCATGAGGACAAACCGGTACTTGTACATGTGTGCATGTTACAAATCAATAATTGTTCATGTTTAAAAAATCATACTTCCTAATCATAGGAAATATGCTTTGTTTCAATTTATAAAAAAAAGTAACACTCTACAAATCTACAAGTTTTACCACCACCCCTATTCACAATTGTATATCATCTTGCTATAATAATGGAAACAAATAAATAAAGAGTATTTTAAAAGCTTTACAATTTAAGAAAGAAATCCCAGATAAACAAGCATATGTCTTACTTGACAGATAATTATCTATTTATAAGAGACATTTGTTGTATCAATGCTCTTAAATCTCATTGAAAAAAAGGTTGTTTTTCCAAGTTAAACATTCCAAACATACAGGTATAAAGACTAATCACTATCAAGTAAGAGAAAAATACAAAAAATTGATAAATCTGCAACCATGCAAGCAAGTATGTAATTAGTAAATATTATTAATTAAAAAAAGGACCAACCTATATGTAAAACAAAAGTCAGACTATAACAAGAAAAAATACTTCCTTCTCTCAACTGTACAATGAGATCTGTATGAGGAAACCCATTTTCTGGTACAACTATAAATACCACAAAAACAATGTTACATGTGGCATGGACAATCCTCATGGTCCTAGAAATACAAAATAGATTCAATCACATAAGCTGAAATACATATCAAAATATCTAATGACCTAGAGATAAATACCATCAAAATTACTCGGTACAAAATAGGCTTCATTTGGACCAAATTCTGTCAGTAGAATTAGAAAATGTACAAACTCATTTGCATACAAGTTACATATCATCATGTTATAGAATATCAGATAATTAGTCAAACATTGAAGGGACATTATGTTCTTCATTGTAAGTTTTTTAAAATGAGAGAATTTAATACATGGTAATAAATGACATGCAACATCACATCAAATATGTTACATAAAAGGATTATTATCAATTCATACTCCAATAAGAAGATGAATATTAATGACCATTGGAAGGAGATAGTTTGCACACAGAAATGAAGAAATAATATATGTTGAGAATGATGAATATTCAGAGAGCTCTGTAAATTAGACACTTAAAGATAAAGTTGAGTTCTGGGAAGAGGTGAACAATAATTTGTGAGCATGGTCATTGTTATTATGCAAGTGTGGAAGAACATCAGATAAATCATGTTCCCTGAAAAGCATGGCTCTTCAAATGCTTTCATATTCTAGATATGGCATGTAACATCGTAAAAATCGGGACAGATTTTTACACCACTTGTTTGTGTAGTCCCATATACATCTTTCTGTGTACAGTGCTTTTAACTTTACCAAGACTGGGCCAGATTTCTTATCATTTTAATGATTCCAGAACCTTGCAATACATACAAATACTTATATGCTAGCTAATCAACCTTTTCTGATCGATTCCACACCGTTTCTTTCACAATGCAATCGGATGACCAGAACTCAACTTTATCTTTAAAGAAACAGAATGTGTTACCAAATTCAAACCTGTTGCAGCACTCTGAATAATTTGTGCAAAGAAAATAATACAAACTGAATTTCAAACACAAAAATAATAGCTATGATTCAAAGAATGTACATAAACTCTCTCATAATTTAACAAATCAAGCCTTCAAGGGGCCTACTGCTTCTGAGCGAATCAGTAAAAACACAACCATATAACTTTAATCCTATCTTCAAGATAATGCTGCTTCAAATTTGGTTACTCTATTCCGCTGCGACACAGCTTCATGCAAAGTAAATTCAGTTGAAGCCTTTTACAATTCACTACTTCTTTCTCTCTGTTCAATAAGGCATTATACTGCTTGACTAAATCACATGATGAATGTTGAGGGCCATAAGGGTGTTAACTTTTGTACTTAAAATGCAGATAATTTGCAAGAGTCATCTAGACTCTCAGCTGCTGAAAAACGTTTTGCAGTAGCTGCATAAGAGACTTGGAACAGCATCCCTCTTTCCATAAGGGAAATTACCTGTCTTGCCACCTTCAAAAGATCCCTCAAAACTCACTTTTCCCCCCAATGATCTATGTGATATACTTCCTGTACTGTACATTTTTGTCCTTTTTTCATATGTTTGTATTTGTAAGCGCTATGGTACTTACCGGTATTGTTTTTAGCGCTCCTAAATATTCAATATTATTATAATTATTATGGAAAATACATAGTATGTTAACGACACAGGATTGAGATTGGGATTATGCATTGCATGGGCTACATTGTAAGTCAGCACCCCAAAGTGACTCTGTGACTGAGTAGGTTCAATGTCAGATGGTAATACAGTGTGTGGAGCTTGAAGAGTGTTCACTTTCATACTTCAACACACAATAAAGGCCCTTCTGGATCTGAACGTCAGATGACATGTCCTTAAGCAAGACATATTAGTCTACATACGCCACTCTCCACCCAGGTAAAGCTAATAGGTTCCGGGTAGGAAAAAATTCATTGAATGCTTCATTGCCTCCCTCTCTAGGGTATCTCAGCTAAAGCCAACTTTGGAACAAACTTCCCCATAAAATACACGAGTCCCAACTTTAGAAAACTTCAAGATTAAACTTAAAACTTATCTGTTCAATATGTAATCAAATTATATTTTGTTTGTTTATTTATAAAGTGCTATGTAAAGATCAATTATTATCATTATTATTATATACATTGTTATTAGAATTATGTATCCTGTATAATATTGTTGTAGGTTAACATTACTTTGTATTTTTGTTGAGTGCTTAGAAACATTGTATTAAGTGATTTATATAATAATAAAATGTAATATATTATTATTATTATTATCAGGTATTATTCATCACTTTGTATCATTAAGAAGAATGCTTCATTGTATGGCCATGTGGGCATGAGTGTGTCCTTGTTTCAAAACCAATGTGATGACATGGATCACATGACTTCTATGATTGCAGGTCACATGATCACATGATTGCAGGTTTCTGATGAGAAGTAGTGAATTGGAAGAGGACAAGTCTCTTTGACCTTTGACCTTAACACGTGGAGAAGTAACATGCTCTCATCTTACAGTAGTTTGTAACAGTCCCAAACAGAATGAAATATATATACATGGAGAGTGTGATTCTGTAGCTCATTCATTTGGTATCATTACGTAGTAAAGATCATGGAAGTTGATTCAGAACTGTATCGCACACAACTGATTATTGCATATTGTGAGGTGTGCAATTCAAATGACAAAATCCTGATAACTGGGCTTTTCAGGACAGCTTTTATCATCATACTTGATTTTTTTTAAAAAACAGCCATCCTATTTTAGTTCGTATTGTCAAGCAAATTACTTCAACAATTGTTTTAAATTATAACAATGATGGAATTGCTTCTGGGATATCAGAAAGCACGTAATCTCAAAACAATCTAGCCCTCAAATGATTCATAAATACACAGATTGGACTTGAAGATGAAGCAGGCCTTTTATGATTCTGAAATGATATCAATAGCACAGAAGTGAAAATATGTTCTTACCTTCAGAAAGGCCTTAAAAACACATCTTTTTTGCAATTTGTAGTTTTTTCTAATTATATGTATTTATGTAATTTTAACTTTCATTCACTGTAAGCGCTTTGGGCCTTATGGGAAAAGCGCGGTATAAGTAATAATAATAATAATAAGAATAATGTTATAGGTGCTGTATGAATAAGACTCTGCTTGAGATTAACTTTGAGAAGAAACAAATTAGAATAAAAGCATCTTGACATTGGGTTACGAACCTCAAACATGTTTCCATCAAAGACTTATTGCATCTGAGAGGTCAGAGGTCAATATGCAAACGATAAACCTACATCCATGAAATTCATCTAATATGAAATTATATTCAGTCTATAATACCAAAATCTGATTGACACAAGGAATAAATACAACCATATACAACATCTGTTCCTTCTTTACAACACACATACATGGAGAAGGAAAAAAAAAATCATAATATGATGACAGACCATTTCAAACTCATTATCAAATTGACGAAAGCGAGACTGGAACCAACCAGTGACAACATGGAAGCCTAAATCTACATGTACATCATAAGCACATCTCAAATATTACTATCATCCTCAACAAACCTGAGGGGCATTTCACAAAACTTGTCATCAGTGACAAATGACAGTTTTTGTTATAAGCTACTGAAATCTTTACTTCTGATTGGTCATCAGCAGATTTGTCACTAATTTTTGTCATTTGTCATTGAAAAAAGGCTTTGTGAAACAGGTCCCTGGCCACAGGTTTACCCCAACAGTGTTTGTCTGTGTTAGTCTGTGTGTGTCTGTGTGTGAGTGTGTGTCTGTGTGTGAGTGTGTTCATTTCTAAGGAAGGGGATTCCCCCCTGCCCATCAGCAGCTCTTCTGTCTAATCATTGCCCAATACATGTTCAGAATACTCATAAAACATACAGGTAGACCAAATAATTTTGAATTCAGGTTGTCTGATCACTAGGGTTTACAAAGTTTAGATAGTACAACAAAGTTGAATCCTGGGGGGTGTTTCACAAAGCCTTTTTTCAATGACAAATGACAAAAATCAGTGACAAATCCGTTGATAACCAATCAGGAGCAAGGATTTTAGTAGCTTATAACAAAGACTGTCTTTTGTCACTGATGACAAGTTTTGTGAAACACCCCCCTGGTGTCAAATACCTTGAGTATGTTGATGCCATTGTACATCAAGGAAAACAGAATTGTCTTTTGTTTTTGTTAACACCCTCTATAATCGTTAATTGTGTATATTATGATGTAAATTCAGAATATTCTGTTTAAAAATGAACCCGGAAAATGATGAGAAACTTGCTTTCATTTAAACACTGTTAGGGCATCTCCCTATGGCCATACAATAATATTGGGGTTATATGAGAGATAGAAATAGTATGCAAAAATATATATATATTTATATGTCAAAATGAGTATATTACACTGATGATTATCTATCAGATGTATTAGTGTAAGTAAGATTATGTTGAAGATCAAACTAGGGTCTGTGTTACAGTGAGGAAAAGAGAAGAATTAATGGATGTATTACCCTATACAAGAGCTAGAGTGTAAATGTATGGTTACTCAGTAACACTGTATCATATTAAATTGTAGCGAGACAGAGATAAGCAGTATAGTTGCATTGTAACAGGGATATTACAATCTTATAGCATACAACCCGAAAATGTAGATAAGGGTTCCTCGCAAAAGCAAAGGTTGCGGGATGATCCTTTCTTTCATGAACATGCACAAATTCGCAGAAGGGTTTTTCCGCAAGTGTTTGTCATAACGACTCTCCATGAAGCCGAGTCTACAAGCATCAAATGTAATGAAAATCCAGCCAGATACATATACTATTTCTACTGTCATTACTGTAGACTGGAACAAGAGAGTGTTATGATGTTAATAATGTCTGTCTGAAGGCTATTTCTTGTGACTCCGTTCTTAGCAGTACCAATGGAGGGAGACACGTCTACATGCTGTACTAGAACTGGAGTAAGGCATTTCTACTAATCATCTCTCACTCTGGCTGTAACTCTTCTATGAAAGCGAATGGACACATCAATCAATCACTTCTGTCTCCTTTAAACAAGAAACTTCTTTCTCTCAAATGCTGACAAATCCTGAAAAGATTAGCCATTAACCGGTTGACTACTGAATTCATACATTGTCATAGGCTTTATACAGGAGCCACACGGTTCCAGTAAGCAATGGGTTAAGCATCTCAAAGCACACACTCTACCGCTTGATAATCATCACACATCCTTCTTTACAGCTTGGTATCGATGATACGCCCTTTCTGAAAAATGCCCTTCTCTGTTGATATCATCAATGACATCCTAATCTCTTCCTTGCCATCTAGCATCTGAACCTGTACAATGACACGAATGCCTGCCGCAAAGAAGTCACCACCGATGAGGACACAATGGTGTCTTGTGCCGCATCATTGACCGTGCTCATCATTGTTCATACAGTCTTGGCTTGCTTGCTCATGCTTGGCTGCTGGTACAGTTCTGTTCACGAGCATGACACGATGGCTGCTGGTGGGTGGGGGTGTGATGATTGGTTAATGTTGACCTGATCTTGACACTGATGGTCTTGGAGGACTGAGGGGAACAAAATGAGAAGATATGCAATTAATAATTGAATTATTCATACCCTTACCAAGTTTTATAATGTTTAATTATGTGCCAAACTGATGTTGTCCCGATTGATGTGTCTTGAGAATGTGATATCTCAAAGCTTACATCTTCAAGTATTCAACAAAGGCCCTAATTCAGTCAGTCCAACTTTCATTCTTGAGAAATGAAAAACACAAAAACATCAAATTTGCAATGGGTATGGATCATTCAGGTGTTAACGCTTTTACCTTGAACTCTGGTATGGGAATCGTATTTTGAGAGAAAATTGCTATGCAGTAAATGGGTTGTTTAAACCAGTGAAATAAAAACTTACTGGGCATCATCTTCAATAAAACTTCCATTTGCACACAGTGACCTTTGTTAAGCACATGGCCTACTTACCCAGATTTCCTTATCTTTCTAAGTTCATATCTCAGCCACTATACATTTTCTACCTAAATTGTTTGGCACATGTCATTTATTTTTAATCTCTGACATTCAGTGTTAGTTTCGATGGATTCTGTGAGAATTTATATTCTATATTTACTAGAACTCAAGTTTATAGCTAGGACAAAGTTGAGAGTGTTTTACATGATTGACAAAACTTTAAAAAATGAAGAGATATATTAAGAGCTGCATTCACAGTATAGTTTGGATTCTTAGCTTTGTTGTTTCACGGCCATTGATCAGTATGATTCAACCATCTTCAGGAGAACAACTAGCAAACTTGCCTATGAAACAATCCAATGTGTAGATCACTCTTTTAAAGATGTGATTATTTTGTAGACTGGACCCCTTTATAGGCAACAAGTAGCATCAATTTTCTTCCATTCAACAAAGTAACACTTTATAACACCACTATAACACTGGTTTTGATGCTGCTTGTAAGTATCGGCTTGCATGGTGATGTAGATATACAGAAGGCTTGCGGATGCATCATGTGAGAGAGAAAGAGTACTCCTCAATCCCCCCTCTCTGTATATCACTGGTTTTGTTTACCTTTCTACTCTAGAGACAACCTGACTGACTAATCTATCACAGATTCCTGGACTCGACTCTTCTGCCATATCAAAGCTGTTCTGTAGCTCATCGATGGCACCGGATAAACCCTCATTCTTGCGCTTGAGCTGAAGTCAAAACAAACAGAGCATTATTTGAAATAATAATAATAATAATAATAATAATAATAATAAAAATAATAATAGTTCATTCTTTTATAGCGCATTTCAGGACCGAAGGCCCTCTAAAAGCACTTTACAATGTACGTTTACATAACAATTACTCGAAGCATTCATCAAAAAGGTGAGTTTTCAGCGCTCTCTAAATCAGTCATGGAGCGTAGCGACACTGGGAGAGCCTTCCAAAGCTGTAATATCCGCAGATAGTTTGGATAATTTTTAAATTCATAATAATGTTATAGAAATACTAAGTTCGTTATTATATGTGAATATGAAAATTACATTTTGACATGAACTTATTGTTTGTATATTTCTACTAAATCTTACATATATGTGTTCTTTGTTATTCAGTTATTGTATTTGGAAAAATGCAGAAATCAAATTGATTCAAATCAAATAGGGTTAATACTTTCTTTTAAAATGTAAGATAAATACAGCACATCAAAAAAAAATATATTGACAAGTGGCTGAAAGAACTTGGAAAATTCATTAAAAGGGACAATTCAGGAAAGGTCAAGAGACTGTAAAACTTTCCACCACCACCGCCTACTACCTGCTACTTACATCTCTGAGTATAGGACCAAGGAGGGACTGAATGCATTCTGATTTAGGTTGTCTTCTAGGGATAGATTCAACCGGTTCAGGTTGAGGAGGCTCAGGAATGTACTGTGGTCCCCTGATCGTGTTCCCGTAGTCAAAATCAGGTAAGTTATTCTGAAGCGACTCATTAGGGCTGCAAAAACAAATACAAAGAAATAAGAGTTACATCTACTTGTAAATACAACTTAATAACTACAGTTCTAGCAGCCAGTAAGTAAGCCCTGACCTGTACAAGGTTTTATTACCCCTAGCTTTCTTTAGCAGACAAGCTACTAAGGCTGTGCATAAGCGTGTTATTGGGTAGTCGTGTACACGTCCAGACATACGATCGTATACAGGTGTACACGGCCGCCATGTTATTGTTTTTTTGTTCTTCTTCAAATCCACTAATTCCTAGCCTTTTTGGGGGGTGGTTTTATTCACACAAAGTTGCTGAATATTGATTTTCAAGTCATCACAACACAGCAGTTTTCCATGAAATCACTGCTAAAAATAGTTAAAATGAATTTTGTGAATCACTTTCTACAAAACCATGTTTTTGCTTCCTTCCTAAGGACCAAGAACCCCATCTCAATATTACAAAATATAAAAAAACCCAAGACAATGGAGGCAAAACTAGCAACACCCACTCTTCACTATTCTTCTTTGGTTTCACTTTCCAATGTCTATCATTCTACTTGTGGCTAATTATCATTACTTTAATCCAGTTTCCCAGGCGACAACAAACATGAAAGTATGAGGGAAACAGAACTGCTCATTAACTGTCAATTGAGATTTACAGCTACACATAACTGGAAATAACCACATTTAAAGAGGAGAGACCTTGCCATTATCTTCAGTTTCTTCATTCTTCATCGTAGATTAATCCAAAAAAGAAATCAGAAGTTCATATTATCAGTATTTCATAGGCCCCCCTCCCCACCCCGAGAAAACTTTTTGACACAAAAAAGCGATTTTGTGTGTGTGTGGTTGCTTCACATATATTGAGATGGCAGCTGTGACCAAACAGTCCCTTTAACAGCCAATATACAATATACGCTCCTACATAGCTTCAATTCCTTAAAGGTATAGACCCGTTCTGGTCATGCGATTGCATTGTGAGAGAAACGTCGTGGAATCGATCAGAAATGGTTGACCGTCTAGAATATAAGTATTGGTGTGTACTGCAAGGTTCTGGAATCATCAAGCACTGTACACAGAAAGATGTATATGGGACTACTCTGAATCTATTCAGTCCAGATAGATATAATAATTTACCAAATATATCAATCAGTAGGCGGTTTCCCAGCAAAATTTGTATCATCATGTATTAGTCAAAACATATTCTTTCACATGATTGGTGTTAAGAGTTTTCATTTCAAAACTGGTCTTTACCTTTAAATTTTACAGAAAAAATATTTAAATGAAAGTATTTTGAGCCCCTGGAGGAGAGCTCCTAGACGAAAACTTACAATTCATTATCCTCTGGGTCTGAGTCCGGTGAGTCGTTACCCTCTGCCTTCCACCTCTTATAACGCTCAATCAGCTCTGTCAGGTAGGAGGTTCTCTTTGCTTGCTTAATGAAGCGGTGTTTTAGTAGCTCCTTGGCTGTCGGCCGCTGGAAGATACAAGATAACACAAGGATTAGAAAGTACAAATACCTGTACAACAGTCACAAATGCATTGGGAATCAGATGAGATATTATTGACAAATAACTGCTTGTGTAGCCTCATTATTAAAAGTTTTGTTATTGATGATAATATCGGTATACTATTTTTACTTGTAATAAAACTTGTATTTAATGCTATGGAATAGATTTTAGATTTGAAGATGGAATTTGAGATTTCTTTGTGTTCAATATATTCTGCATGACTCTTCTACAATTCTACCATTTCATGAATAAATGCAGAGGTTATAAGAATTGTTTGCATGACTAAGTTGCTCCAAGGTCAAACATGGTTTACACTTACGCATCCAACTGAACAGATTAAAGTTGATATAAAACCATAAGCTTTTGGGGGGTTAAACCCACTGTGGAAGTTAGAAATTTTCTGTATTTGCAATACATTCAGACTGTGAAAACAGATGCACAATTCACAGACGTCATACACAATTTAAAAAAAATTGGGGTTATGTGATACGTGACAACCAGATGCTGGTCATTGTATGTCACGGACAGATACAGATACCATGGACCTACTTTATAGTGATACATGGAATTTGATGTTTGAAAGATGTTGAACTTACATGCCGTGGGTCTTTGTTTAAACAGACTTCTACAAAGTCCTTGAAGTTCTTGGTATAGCTGCCTTCTAGCTTGGGTGGGTTGTTCTTTGGGATGAGGAAGAGGACTCTCATGGGGTGAAGATCAGAGTTAGGGGGTTCCCCTTTAGCCAGCTCGATAGCTGTGATGCCTAAGGACCACATGTCAGCCTGAAAGAGAAACAAATAGACATGTATACATGTATATGTGTAAGACATTATATCATAATGTGTAAGACATTATATCATAATGTGTGATATACACTATACAAGAACGGCATATCAATAATATCATCACTATTATTATCATAATTGAAAAAAGAACCCTCAATAGACTGATTGAACATCTGAGTAGGTAGGGGGTTCCCCCTTAGTCAGCTTGATGGTTAACTGGAAGAGAGGCATATACAATGTATAAGGCAGAGCTCCGCAGTCACAGACTCTGTTCAGTGGGAGTCAGGGCCGGTATTCAATTCAATACTAAACATAAGTAAGAAATTTACTTATCTCGTATTCAAATTGCATTTTAGACTTATACTTACGTAAGACAAAATCTAAGTAAAATACTTACTGATATACATACGGTCAATCAAAAGTTATGGGCAATTGATGCATTGCAATAAATGCTCGCTAAAAAATTGTGCGCAGGTTATAATACTCTGTAAGAAAACCATATGCCTGCCAATCAAGGCATCCAAATAATTGGCTTAAGTCTGGTAAGTCTGGCTTAGATTTAGAGTTAAATACTTAGCCAAAAGTGTGAATTGAATACCTAAATTGGCTAAGTATTTTATCTAAGCCAAATACTAAGTAAAAAGCTTGCATTTTGTACTTAAAGACTGTCAATACTACTGGGCCAGAAGGGATTGGACCACACAGCAAGGTCACTGACAGGTGGCTATCTCATTAACTCAGCTCTCAACTAACATAAGAAAAAGAGGATCATGGGGGACCAACTGGCACCGATTGGGGAAGTTTTCTATATATAGAGGGAGCAAGTAGCTACAAGTAGGACAGTGGGGCTTTAACTTTAAGTATTGAATTGAATACGGGACCAGGAGTGTGCACAGGGCCTCTCATTACTCTCCAAAATCTAAGTGGTCTGAAGGGCTGTATGCACTGGGTGCCTATGTTATAATGCCATTTTGTTTTTGATTCTGGGTTTTTACATACCGTATATGAAAAATTATACTTTTTACAATATTTTCTTCCACTTCCCTTTTTTTAACTCATCATACACTTTCTAGCTAGTGAATATTAATGTTGTGTTTGAAAAAGCCCTCTGCTCAATCATGTTTAAAGGTAAAGACCAGTTTTGGAAACGCCCCTATTTCAAAAAATGAAATGGAAACTCCTATTACCAATGATGTGAAAGAATATGTTTTAACTAATACATGATGATAACAATTTTCCTGGGAAACCGCCTACATGTACTAATTGATATATTTGGTAAATTAGTTTATCTATTGTTATGTGAGAGATAAACGCATGAGTCGCGCACATGTGCATAGTCCCATATACATCTTTCTGGGTACAGTGTTTGTAACTTTACCAAGACTGGGCCAAATTTCTTATCATTTTGATGATTCCAGAACCTTGCAGTACACACCCAATACTTATATGCTAGATGATTAACCTTTTCTGATCTATTGCACAACGTTTCTTTCACAATGCCATCGCATGACAAGAACTGGTCTTTATCTTTAAACATACACAAACTTGTACACATCCCAAACACATATGTATGCGTGACAGACGATGTAATCCTAAAATCCCTTCCTTAGTCAGATAATACACCAGGATGTAGATTGAATAAACTATAATAAAGATCTCCAAGACAGAAAGGTTAATTATAGAATATGTTGAGATTTATTTAACGCCATTTCAAAAAGGGATTTTCCCCTTTTTCCACGGAATTGTCATTCCATACAATTATAAATCTTCCCAGTTTGTAAATGAGAAAAGAGACAAAAGATGCTACAGATCACTGGATATCTTTATGTACTCGACGCCTATACACTGATTGCCTCAACGAGCATGTACAGTACAATTTCTGTATCGGAAGACTAGCACGTAAATCCTGGGGGGGGGGGGTACTCACATGTTAGGACATACAAGGGTATGCCGCTCTTAAGGGTCACTTTTTCACACAAAAATTGCTAAACATGGGTCTGTTTTTTTTAATTTTCAAATATTTGCAAAATGACAAGCACTCAAAAATTGTGAAAAATGGGTCTTTTTCAAGAAAAATCCCCCAAAATGACCCCTAATAATGGGTAGGGGCTTGGAAGCTTTAGCGGCACACCATAAGTTACATAATAATATTAATATGAGCATTCCTTGTACCTCATGAAAGGTACAATCGTACATATATGTATGTATATATTGGTATGACCCCAACATTAAATTTTTCTCATATTTCTAATTCTAGTACGGTAACCAACAGGACAATTCCACCATTAGGAAGTGGAAGAAGAAGTGGAAGAAGAAGTGGCAATACAACATCTTTTTCTTTTAGGCCTAACGGCCATGACTCAACAAGATTTACATCTACATCTACATGTAGACATGTCCTTGTACATGATCTGCTCACACCCAGAAGGACCTTTGCTCTATGTATGAATCAATGCCTTTCTAGCTCTTACTAGAGGATACATAGCAACATTTTATCTATCGACTTTCGGGTGTCAACATAAAAATAATGTTCGTCCAGGTACAAAGCCCACATTATCTCTTTAATAACTAAATTGTGAATGCTTTCAGTTTCAACTGACTAAGTTCTGAACAGCAAACCACAGCTCATGTACACATGTATTGGCCTACATTTCATGTCCACCAGGTTCAGATTTTAAACAGAATTACATGTATATGCTTACGTAAATTTATCTTAAAATACTTGGGTACAATGTACATACAGGTATGTATGAATATTGTTCATGTTTACAAGGTCTTCTTTAATCAAGGATCATTCAATACCAACAAAAATTATATAAATGAATCTCAAGAAAGGTGCAGGTACCTTGTGAATATGTATTTTATTTATACATGTAAGTGCGTGACTGGTGAACAACAACGTTACATGCAGCCAGCTCATAGGCCTACATGTCAGGTATAATGCGTCATATGCACGGTGGATATCCTCTACTCACTAACTGCAATTATTCTCAAACTATCCACTGTGCCAATATTTGTATGGATGTTATTATTATTCTAAAACCAATACAGGAAGCAAGTCTGGACATTAATTATCCAGTTGTGATATTCATGTAAACAACAATACAGTAACTACATGTACATTCTATGATTTCTATCGCTGCAGTCTGCACCTTGTACTTGTATTAAAGGGATTGTGTATCTTTGCCTCAGATTCTCTAAAAAATCCTGGATTTAGCTCATGCTGTAATCTAAATCATAATTATAAACCTTTAGGTAAGTCAGGAATCACATGACTTTTACAAGCCTGTCTGATTATTAAGATATTTATGATTGGAATAAGATATTTCAAAACCATTTTCCCAACACTTTTTATAACACTACAGTCCATTAGGGAAAAGGAGTATGATAAAACCGGTTACTCAAGATATTTACTTTTTTGAAGCGCCTTTTTTTTTAGGGCTTCAATAATACACCAAATCGCAGACACTGATACACATAGGGCCATGCATCTCAAATTTGTATAACTGGAAACAATGTTAAACAATGCCTTCAATACAAATTTCATGAAGGTACTTCTGTCATGAACTTTGTTTACTTTACAGGCGTTTTCTTTAAAAATACATTTATTTTGGAACACCGGAGCACAATGCAAATATACACATGAGTAATCGTCCATACAGAATTGTCAACCTACTCTTACCAAAGAATCTCAAGCCAGGCGGTCATTTCTCTTTCAATATGAAGCAATCACAACAACAAAAACACACACAAACAAAAGAGATAAATAGAGAGGGAGGGGGAGGGGGATGACATATTTTACCAGTAATGTTTTTGTTTAATTAGACGGCCTAGAAACTTGACAAGAACGATGATTAATAGCAAATATATTGATTCTTTCGCCTACCTATACCATTGTATACTTCAGTATAACTTGTAGGCCCTACCAGTACTTTTTTCACAAGGGTACAAATTGAGATTTTATGGTCTGTTTGAATTTAGAAAATCTTTAAATTTATCAATTGAGAAGGGGGGTCCTCAGCTCTGGGCCCCTGGAAAATGTCAAGCCCTAGCATATGGATGCAAAGTATGAATACAACAAGTATACAGTTAATTAAATTGCATTATTTAAAGTTCTTAATAAAACTATCAGTACAGGTATATGTGCATGTATTATCTACCTATTTGTAATTAGCATTTCAATGGCAGAAGCTGAATGTGTACACGAATATGTACTGTACACATAGGGCGCGTTTATCAAGGCTTGCCACTAGATATGTACATATCGTACCCCACATCAAACCCCACTATCGAACCTCACTATACAATCGTGATTTGCGGGATGTCGCATTTATCGTCCCTTCACGATTCAAAATAAAGGCCTTGTGTCTGCCCAGCTGTTTTGACCCGGGAAGCAGACAGTTTCTCGGAGGTCATCTTCACACACATGCTTGTACACAACACCTGGGGGGTCCTATTTGTATGTGAGGTTCTAAACGGCTTTGCGTTTATCGATCTCTCAGAAACATGATTCTCGCTGTATGTCACATTCAAAACGCACCTTTTTGCGTATTTAGATATGCCCATATCTAAAGACGTTTGAAAAAGGCTTTGCGTTTATCAACTTCTAAATTTGCCTGAAAGACGTTTGAGAAACCTGATTCTAGCCAAAAATTTGCTAGATAAACGCAACCAAAGACTTACACAACTACGCAGCCTAGAAAGTTGATGAAAGCAACCTTCAAAATAAGAAAAAAGTTCATGGATGCAAGTTTTACAACCTTCTTCTACTACTATCGCCAGTACCCTTCACCAACCAAAGATAACAGGATGCTCCACAAAAGTGCAATGTTCTCAGCCTTTCAATCTAGATACATATCTCAGGTGCATAACACTGATATCCAGGGAGGGTCTATTACCCTTAGGCGCGTCTTCATCATCTCGAGATTGCCAAATAGCCCGCTATTTCTGATTTGGGAAATAATTCCGAAGTTACAAATCGCGTCTCCATCAGCTCAAGATTCGACGTAGAAACTTCAAACTCGACCTTGAGTAATTAGCTCAAGATATTTTGCTCAGCGTTCGCGCATAGTGCAAGTCTTCAGTCTGGTGAAAATGCACCGGACAAATAGCTGGTTATTTTGCAAACTATCCCAAGATATCTTGGGATGACAATCCCGTCCAAATATCCCGTTAATTGCAACTTTGGGCTGATGAAGATGCAAATTAGCTGGATAGTTTGCGATCTGGATAGTTCAAATAGAGGTATATTTGGCAATCTCGAGCTAGTGAAGACAGGCCTTGTGAAAATGACGAGGACAAGAGCAGATGACATTACAATATGCAAGGTTATCAAGGAGTGCAATGCACTTTACTACATGACACACCCACAATAAGGTTTCAATCATTCTACAAGGTTTTGTGGAGTTCAGTTTGTTCTTCTCCTTCTTCTTCAAGATAATCTGCCTCCTTCAATACTGAAGATTCTTGCAGATGCCATATATATTCGGCCTGATGTGGGCGTGCTGGTGGATCACTACAACTCTTATACGAATAGTGCAGTGGGTTCTTAACGTGCAATGGTGGTGACTCTCCTCTACACGGGGCAGTTTAGATTTACATGGAGATGGATTCAAAAGTACTCAGATTATACAAACTCAAAATTCTTGTCACATTTAATCTATAAAATTGTAAGAATTAAGGCCAAAATGCTAAGATTTTGAGAGATAAAGTGCAGGTAACCTGCATGTGAGATACCGTTTGCATGAACATGTAGTCTGGTATTATCTACTACCAGTATACACACACTTCTTTCACAAAAAAAGTTTGGATCAGATAATGGTACTGTAAGTTCTAATGATAAAAATATTCAGTGCACACTGTAAATCTAGTTTAGACTGTGTATACATGTACATGAAACAACAACAACAACAACATTACCATTCATCTGTGCTTGTAATCAATACATCATCTTCTGAGGATGATGGAGGCATATGGGTTTCCCATCTAACGGTATGAGGTGTGATATTTTCTTAGGTACACTCCCTCGCACCCAGACATTCAATCTCCTTGATAGACAGCTGGTAATAAGATTGGCTTGTAATCTAGGCTCACCCCCATCCCCAGCCATCCTGCCTGGCCACACCTGATGGACTGGTATGAATCTCAAGCATGCATGGCTCAATATAAACAAGGCTATAGATAGATCAGCAACGGGATGCCCTCCTTCATCCCTACCGTTCTCTCTACATCCTCTCTTAAAGATATCTTTGGATTCTAGTGATGAATATGATCAAAGACAAATTCATACCAGATCCATCATACTCATCACCTAGTATTTGTCTGTTTGGAGCCAGAAGGGCATTAAAGATACTTGTTAGAATATTTGATATTCTTCAAGAATAAAAAACACTTTATGCTTGCATTTAATTCTGATACTGTAACCTGTTGAATATATTTTCAAAGAAAACTACAAACAAGTAAAAGATATAATTCCTAATAGTAAGGTCTTATGAAAAAGAGATAATTGCATAAATATTTTATAACATCCCTTCCCAAACATTTACTTCTTATCAAGGAATTTGACACAACAAACATACACATGAACCCTTATCTCATTTATCAAGCTATTTTATAGAGCTCAAACAACTTACAAATCAAAGGTTAGAAGACTATTTGACGCCCTGCCAGATCGCGCAGCTATATTAATCTTTGCTGATATTAAAATTAATAGCATGGTAAACAAACGGATGCATTTGTGAGGGCCTACCACTGCAACAGGAGATCCAGTATAAACATGAACTAGCCTAGCCAAATAATCATGAGGCCACTGATCTGCACATGTGTTTGATGAAGGAAGTTCAATGCTTTGAAGGATTTGTGAACAAGTACCCCCAAGACAAGTCTCCTTTGCCTCCATCTCACCCTGGTTAGAAACATATAGGGTATGATACTAACAGGGGTCTGTCTGGTGCCTGGTCCCCCCATTCAGTGTTAATAAGGGTACGCATGCATGTTCCCTCCCTTGAAAAACACCCCCCTAAGTCCGGTGTGTAAAGTCAATACGGGCCGGATTTTTGTGTATTACGAGCCAGACTTTGTTGCATGAATAGTACCCCTTTACCGGACATTTTTGGGAACATGAAAGTGGTCCCTCCGACCCCGGAGTGGGGGAAGGGGGCGGGTGCACATGAGCCACAAAACATAGCACTTAAATAGGGAAGCAGGGATGCATGCATACAGACCCTTACAATTACAATCCAGACCCCCTCCGACCACCCCCTCCGACCACCCCCTCCCCATAGCCTTGCCCCTACATGAGTCTCTTACCTTTGAGTCGTAAGCTGACTGTTTAATGACTTCAGGAGCCATCCAGAACGGTGTACCAACGAACGTATTTCTCTTTATCTGTGTCTCTGTGAGTTGACCGGCTACACCAAAGTCAGCCAGTTTGACATCGCCATTCTCAGACAGTAATACATTTGCAGCTGATCGATTGGAATAGAAAGAGAGACAGACAGAAAATCAATTTCAATCATTTTAATGTTAGATTTCAAGACATTGACATTTACGTTCTCGTAAGAACAGTCTGACTGTAAGATCTTTTGACAATATTATTGCCTCAGCCATTGAGTTAGGAACTTGAGAAAAGATATAAATTGACCACAGAATGTTTGTCATTGGATCAAACTGAAATGTTCTTGATCTTTTGCTCTTAATTTCTTTTCATCTTCCAGATGGTACAAGGAGGCCTGAAGAAATCTTAAATTAAAAAAAAAATTATATATATATATTTATGTTGGTTGGCGATAAGAAGGTAGTTACTAGTAATATCATTGACAATGCATAGCTATTAAGACCTCCTCACAGACAGCCAACGTTCCTCTGAATAACCTGGACCCTGTTACACAAAGGTTAGTAATCAATCGCATAATGACAATGACCAATCAAGATCATGGTTGCATGCACATATATTGTTCAAAGACCGACTATCGACCAATCAGAATCGTCATTTTAAATTTGAAACTGACTGCAAACCTCTGTGTTACGAAGCCCTGGTCTGGATCATTACCGTATGTCAAAGTATTTCATGGAAAGATCTGGGGGGCATTTCACAAAGATCCTAAGTTGAACTTATCTCTAAGTTGGACTTAACAATTTATGGAAAGCCGTTAGCATCTATGAAAACATTTTGTAAAAGTTATTTTAAAAGGCATAAAATGTTGATTCAAATCATTCATATTTTCTTTTATCATGGAGATTTCATGTTCTTGATGTGGAATTTATAAAAAGTCTAAAATACTTGAATTTTGCTTTTGAATGTATTTTATTTTAAGGCTACAAATAGCTCTCCATAATATTTAAGTCCAACTTAGAGTTAAGTCTAACTTGGGATCTTTGTGAAACACCCCCCTGGTTAAGAAAGAAAGCAGCAAGGTTAGTCTAAATGAGGAGGATGCTCGAGACATGAAGTAGTGGAGGAAGAGAGTGTTATCATGGTGTGAAAGTCATTAACACCTTGTTAGAGGGAAAATGCCGACTTTAATAAATGATGATGATGATGATGATGATGATGATGAGACAGTAGTGTTTCGATGTTGAGATTACCTTTGATATCTCTATGTATCTTCCTCTCACAGTGCAGATAATCTAATCCCTTGATGACTTCACGTAGGATGGTTGCAATGTAGATCTCATCCATCGCACCTGACTTGAGAAGATCTAAGGCGGACCCTCCTCCCAGGTACTCCATGATGATCCATAACTTGGTGCCCTGAAAACATCAACAATAGAAAAATGACATTTAGGATAGATGAATTTATAAAGTGGGAATACTAATCACATTACTATACAGTAGGCTTGCGGATGCACCATGTGACAGAGAGAGGGAGGATTGGGGTGTCCTGAAAAGGACTCACTGTAATCTTTTTTGAGGGTGTGTAGTCCTGAAAAGGACTGTTTGTGTAGTCTTGAAATAGACTGTTGGTTATCATTCTTAGCTTATAGTTCTAATGAGAACTATAGCGCCAATTGGAGAGGATGGATGGTGAGAATACTAATCACATTACACTTTACTGCAAATAAGCACAAATTTTCATCCACCACGAGCCAAACTTCCATGATAAGATTTTCATGGATTCAAGATTTTCTTCCTACTTACCGTAAACCTCTGTGTATAAGACGCACCCCCTGACTTTCATTTGTTTTCAGCGGCCAAAAAGTGCATCTTATACACAGATATTTACGGTATGTGCTTCACATGGGTCACGAGTGGCAAATGTAGATCACTGTCATGCTGAAAAGACCTAATATTGGAGTGGCAATCGTACCATGTATATGTATATGCGTTTGCATGAAAGTCTTTATGTAATAAATTGTACACACACATAAGAAAATACATTTATCAAATCTATTTTGTGGTATGTATTATTTTGTTCATCAAATTGTTTTGATATTTTCACTAATTATTGATTTTTCCTCCTTTGATTTTCAAGACAGATTGATGAATAATGTAACCAATGTTCTATGTCCTCACAGTACTATTCAAAAGAAAAGAATATGTTTTTTTTTCTACTTGTTGTTTTACTGCTTTGACACTGTGCAATGCCTGTAATGTAATTGTCAACATCTTCATGCCAGAATGCTTATCAAACAGCAGACAAATTCCATGATCACAAATGTCCATGAACTTTAATGTACATGTATTTGCTTTTGAAGCATGCATACACATGCTCATTTTCTCAAGGGCAATAATATGCATCCATATATAGTGGTATAATCACAACTTGACTCAAATATTGGAATATCATAATCTGTAAGCCAGTAGTAAAATTAATAATGCATGCTATGTACTAACATACAATGACAAAACAATCAACGACCAGTGAATCATGGCTGCATGATTACCTGCATAGTTGCCCCCAATGTCATGGCCATGAGGCTATAACTACACATGCACATTATAGCACTGGAGATTGCATTCTAGCTCAGAATTGGATGACATGTTTTCTGTCGAGAGCCAGAGTCAGAAGGGCATTTTAAAACGTGTACAGTGGCTTCAATAAAAGCATAAAAGTGAATAATTAAAACAGATCCATGAGCAAAAGAGTGAGGAAAAATCCAATTAAATAAGGTAGAAAGTTCTACAATGTATAAACCTGTAATAAATCAATCAAACACAAGTTTTGTATTTAACTGTAATGATGACAGCAGAGAGGGTTTGATATTTATTTGTCACATCAGATTGTAGAGAAACAGAAAGTAGATCATGTAGGCCTACAAACATAGCATGAACACTTCAGAGTCTCAACGGCTCTTGACATTAAAGGGATCGTTTAACAATGTTAAATCTGAGATGCACGGCCCTACGTGTTATCAGTGTCTGTGATATGGTGTAATATTGAAGCCCTAAAAAATTGCGCTTCAAAATGATCATGAAGTGCCTCAAAAAAGTAAAAATCTTTGAGTGACTGGTTTTACCATACTCGTTTTCCCCAATAGACTGTAGTGTATGAAAACCGTGTGGCAAACGCAAAATTTGATTTCGATTTCCAATCATAAATATCTTGATAATCAGAAAGGCGAAGTCCTGGGATTACTGACTGACCTAAAGATTTATAATTATCATTGCAGCATGAGCTAAATCCAGGATTTTGTTTCAGAATTTGAGGCAATGTTACTGAGTCACTTTAAGCTACAAGATGTATTTGCTAATCTCAGAACTTCTTTTCAGTTTAGATTTTGTTTTGACTGTTTTCCAGACACCCATTGTCATTTGAATACCATACATACAATACAGCTACACATATTGGAAGTCAGCACTGTAGGAAATAAAAATGAAAAATGCTGAGTAATTAAATAGTAAGCAAAGCAACTTCTTCTGGCATTGCAGATTGAACTTTAACCCCGTTTAATCAGAGCATTCATTTCTGTATTATAAAATGCTCATCCGACCATTCTGAATATCATGCTATACACGTATATCCTTCTGATTTCACAAACAATGAGAACAATAAACTCTAGCTCTGGAATCTGGGTCACATCCAAACATATTCAATTAGGTCTGTATTTATCATTTCCAACTGAAATCCTCATCATTGTATTATGACGGTTTTATGACTTGATGTTTTGCAAACTAGTCAAAGATTGGGGCTCTTCAATTCAACTTGATGATTCTCTTCCAGGGACAGTTTTCATTCAATATTGTTGTTGTTGTTTTAGTTTATAGGCGTTTGTCATTCAGAAGTGGATATTTACGCCTGTTCTCTTAGGATTTTTATTCATTTAAAAGGATGGATGGATGAGCATTTCATAATACAGAAATGAATGCTCTGATTAAATGGGGTTAAAGTTCAATCTGCAATACCAGAAGAAGTTGCTTTGTTTACTATTTAATTACTTAGCATTTTTCATTTTCATTTCCTAAATTCCTATAGATGCTTTTGAAGGTACCGTAATCTTAATTTCAGGGATGATGAATTTCTCTGAAATATGCAAAAAAATTGGTAATTAATTTCTAAGCCACAAATATATACCCTACAGTATTGATAAAAATATGTAACACTTCAAAAATGAAGTGAAATACAAAACAAGAAAAACAGTTTAAAGGTAAAGACCAGTTATGGTCATGCGATTGCATTGTGAAAGAAACGTTGTGGAATCGATCAGAAAAGGTTGATCATCTAGCATCTAGCATCTGCGAGGTTCTGGAATCATCAAAATGATAAGAAATTTGGCGCATTCTTCGTAAAGTTACAAGCACTATACACAGAAAGATGTATATGGGACTACCCTATATATCTCACAGACCATGAGAGAAACAAATTTACCGAATATATGAATTAGTAGGCGGTTTCCCGGCAAATTTGTTATCATCATGTATTAGTCAAAACATATTCTTTCACATGATTGGTAATGAGAGCTTCCATTTCATTTTTTGAAATTGGGGCGTTTCCAATACTGGTCTTTACCTTTAATATCTGAATTATAACACATATAGAGTCTGGTGATAGACCACAGTTGCATGTTATTTTGCAGTGAAAGGAAACATCACTGCAACTTGTGTAAAAGTTTGTTCACATTTTGTAGTTACAACAATTGGTTTGTTTGTTTGACTGCTAAGAAAGCATGTGCATGCTCCAAGCAAGCGACCAGGTGACTTAAAGCCCGTCTGCACTAGTTTGGCCAGGGGGATTAGATCTACCTGTAAGGTCACTGACAGGTGGTTATCCCATCAAATCAGTTCTCAATTAACATAAGAAAAAGAGGATCATGGGGACCAATAGGCACCGATTAGGCATTGTTTGCTATATAGAGGGCGCAAGTAGCTACAAGTATAAGTAGTGCGGTGGGGCTTTAAGTCCTCTTCCAGGTTAACATTTTGCTGGTTCAAATAAAATCATTCGCTGCATACCTGTACATGATAAATATTCTGGTATCGGTATGACTTCTGCAAAACAACAGTTTCCTAGAGCTTAAGATTGTGCATATATCCACAAATCATACTCATAATAACAGAAAACGCTAAAATAAAAGAAATTCAAGCATGGAAATTGCATTTATTCTTTAGTGTCCAGTCATCATCTTGAACAAACATGTAAATCGAATGATAAAGGTAGTCAAACAAAATACTTGTCAACCGTTTGACCTGTATATAGAGTTGTTGGGTCATTCAAACAGACATTGTTTGTATTCCGCCTTTGAATAATGAGTAGTCTCCAAAGACAGACTTTATTAAAAACAGCAAGTTATACAACACCTGCTGAGTGCTCTCAATTTAAAATTAAAGTCTGTTTAATAAAAACTACTTATTTTAATTCATAAGCAAATAATTGAACACATAAAAACACTTTTATCATATTTCAACTCCAATCATTTTCATGCTTTTAATAAATAAGCAATATCTCTGTTTTGCAGAGTTACATGTATCTCTCAGTATAAATCAGTGAAACACAAGCTCCTATCTACATGTCAACCAATTACTGTCAATGGCATTGATTTGTTTGGTTTCGTACCTGAGTATTAATGTACACATGCTTTGCCAAGTGCAATCATATTTGTCACCTCCTTCCTCTTACTTTGTTTCTTCCTAGTTCCCACACATATCCTTTACAGGTTAATAATAATAATAATAATAATAATAATAATAGCCTAATAGTCCACTCCAAATTTTATTAAACCGAAACGGAAATTCTTTTTGCCCAATTAATCGTGAGCCCGGCAGCCACTGAGCAGCGCCAGATCGACGTTGCTCTATCCCTTATTGTTGAAAGCCAAACAAGGTAGCAACAACTCCCATCTTTTAACGTCTTTTGGTATGACGCGGCCGGGGTTCGAACCCACGACCTCCCGGTTGTGAGGCGGACGCTCTACTGACTGAGCCAACACTCCGGTACAGTACCTACTACAGTTAAACCTACTTTAGTGACCACCTGTCTACAAAAACCAAATTTGTTGTTTGCCTAGAAAATAGTTTCTCATTGAAACATGTACTAAAGCAACCTGTCTACAAAGACTATATTTCCCAATTGTGCACAGGGTTTTAGGGCTGAACCTTGAGACTGAATTGCTCATAACATGCTCATAATATGATCTCCCTTTAGGGTGTGGTCATACCCCCATATGTCCCTATCACTTGACATGAAAAGGGGAAGTCCGGATTCACACAAGCTACCCAGAACAGTTTCCTGTATGAAGCCTTTAAAGGGAAGGTTCACTTCTGCGAGAGGTGAATTCAAAGAACGGTTGATTTTTTTCATTTTTTCTATCTACATT